ACAATAAACGAAAAAATGGTATAACAGACAGCAAACAACGCCAACTTTTATATTACGGACTCTTGTCTTTGGATTGTCACATACAGCATTTTGAAGGGTTAAGCATTTTTGTTAGCGCACAACCCTCTCGATAACCTGGGACAGTGTTGTAAACAGCACAACATAAAAAAAACTAAAAAATGAGTTGGAAATTGATTGATTCATCAGATTTGCACCAAATGCATTTCTGACATAACTTTGATCTAGATGTGAATATAACAAGCGTTTTCTGGACGATTGGTTACTATTTTTTTCGTCTTTTTTATTTTATCAATCAAGTTCTTATGTATTAGGTTGGTCAATCAAATGTTTTTTCACCACTACTTTTGTCGCGATTCCCGACCGATTTTCCTTATATAATTTAGAAAGTGGCGTTCTCAAAGTTCTTTGGACGTAGAAGCATTGTGAGGAGACATGTGTTGTTTGTTTTGTACCTAAGTCAATACCTATTCAAACGAATCATATATTGGACCCTCGTTTACAAACGTACTGAATATTGCAAGTATAACATGTTAAAAATATTTTTAGTTTTCAGTTTTACAGTTTTAATTCACGCAGATTGTGTCGTTTTTTTTTTTATTCATTGTCCTGTTTAAAAGGGTTCTGATACCGATGGCATATTCCTCCTTACATATTTTGGATAGTAATCTAGAGGTCGAAATAAACCATAATTCTCAAAAAAGGTTTACTTTTAAGAAGCGTTCAGTAATTATACAATACAATACGGTACTTACTTATTAAAAAAGTTAGAGGCAACATGGGTAAAGCAATGGGTATTAAAATCTCAAACAAATCCGTTTCGAACATACAAAACAAGGTAAAGACAATAAAAAATCGCATGAACTCTAACAGGAGCCAGACTGATGCGTCAACAAAATATTAGTGTGTTCTGCTATGTATGAATCGCAAACCATACGAATCCATACACAAGATGTCACAATAAGGAATAGAACACAATCGGTAAATTAACAGATCAAACGATTATTTTGACATCTAAAGACCTAGGACTGCGAAAATATGTTATTTGTGAATTAAGACACAAATATATCTTATTTGTCAACTAAAAAATACAAACATTCGTGAATTTTCGGAAAACACTTATTCTTCATTACATGCGAAAAAACAGTCTTGATGTTCATATAAAGCCCTTTTGAAAGTTATATTATTCTTCAGCCTTCTAACAATAAGGTTTATTGCACACCAACTTTCTTATTGGACAAATTCACCGGGGCCGAATAGCAAAACCAAACTCCTAACTGTGTATTGCTACCTAATACCTACAGCGTTTGACTTTACATCTACATCGCTAGACCTTACATCTTGAGCGCTAGACTTTATTTTTCCAGCGCTTACTTAACAGCTTCAGCTCTTCAGCGCTAGACTTTACATCTCGTTTTCTAGGCTTTAAAAACTACTCTTTAGTATCTGTATTTATAGACCTACAGGGCTTGATCATACAAAACTAATGTCAAAACAAAAACAAGCTATAATGACAACCACTATACAGAGGGTTCACGAATTTCGACGGACGTATCTGATTGACAATTAGTTAGTTGGAAGTTTTATTTGACAGAAAATCTCAACATTGTTCCAGATTATCACAACCGATACCAGACAATCTCAACCTGACATACTTTACAACATATTTAGCTTAATGAAATTATCTTCGTAAAGAAATAGAGAAAAACTGTTATTATACGTTTAATGTGACAAAGAAGAACAATTATATACTGATATATACGCTACGTATTGATGAACTCATTGTCATTTTGTCAAAAACTCAGAGCTGGCCGCACTTGACTGCGGGAGAAAAGTTATTCCAATGTCATTTTAAATCACATTGGTCCGAGTAATAAACGAGACAAGCTCTCATTCAGTAACCTATGGCATGACATTCTCCTATTTAACAAAATATTTACAGATTGACAATAAATTAAGGAAAAGTCGACCTTCCTTATCTATATTTTTGATATTTTGTACCAGAAAAGCTTAACAGGTGCTCAACAGGAAGTGCCAGTAAACTTTTTTCTCGCTTAACCATTTGGTTGAGATTTGATGGTTTACCAGGCGTGTGTATGCACTATTGACTACAAATACTTTTTTTGTTGGCGTCATTGTCAGATTCATTTGAATGTTTGTTTGTATTTTTTAGTCAGTTGTGTTGTATGTCTATAATGTAAGTATGATGGTTTATGATTATACAGTTTTGGTTACTGTATCCCAACTATTGTCACATTAACCTATTATGTCTATTTGGGTTGCTCACAACATCTTGTCATTATAAAGGAACTATAAACAACTGTCATGGGAGGCTGAGCTAGCTTTAAAACCAGGTTTAACCCACCATTTGTTTCGGTAAATTCATGTTTGGAATATGACTTATTTTTCATCCGCTACTTTGGCTGATATTGTCTTACTTTTGATTTTGTCAGGTCAGGTTATGTGGACATCATCCCTCTTTGTATTTGCCTCTGAGCTCGATATTTTTGTTAATACTTTTTTATCCAATTATATCGTTTTAAAGATGCTTGTAGTTACTGAAAGAAAAACCAAAGTTCTTAACCTGCTCATTATGAAATTAATTTTTAACACTTATTAAAAGAATTAAAGTATATATTTCGTTTATTGATAGGCAAAGGGAGGTTTAATCGCATGTGAAACTGGTTAAACAGCATGTTTTAACCCAGGTTCTATTGTTGTTCGTTATTGTTTGTCTTTGTTTGCATGCTTGTTTAATTTCGGAAGAATAGAATGTTGCTATGGTCAGTGCGGTATTTTTGGCGATTCATGTTATCCCCTTAAGGTTATCCCCTTAAGTTTTTACCAAGTGAATTCTCAATATCAAATTTCCGTTTCAAGCAACATGCATTACATGGTTTAGGACTTTGACTGCAGATACAGCAACATCTTTTTAAGAAAGGTAGGAAAGGTGTTAAGCAACATTTGCGCATAAGTGCATCAATTTTAAATGAAAGTACACAGACCATTTTAGTTTATAAATCATATTTGTATCTGACCTCGCAGCATTACTTTCTTCTAGTCGTTCACTGAACGGCATAATCCACAACACAATTTGTTGTTATTTTAAAGATGCGTTTTCTGTTTATAGACCTTAGATCACAGTACATGTATTTCGAACTATGCACATTTTGTAGAGAGGTACTATTGTCATATTTAATATGTGAATAAATGACTTAGACAGGTATACACTTAAAGTAGTAAATATTGATAACCTGCAGGTCGTTTATTAGAATACATGTACCTATAAATAAAATAACACATATACCAGGTTTATAAATTTGTTACAGCTGTCTGCTTTAATTTTACAGCTGGTTGATATTTTACATTTGACTGATTTATGATTTAATATATTGCCATAAATAATTAAATCAAGACAATTGTTGGCAAATAAAAGGAAATGTTAAGAAAAGAACAATCATTTATTATGTATCTTTATAATGCAACGATAATCTAGTATATTTGAAAATGCTGAAAACGGCAATTAATCCACAGTTCCCTTATTATATCCGTAAATTCCTAGTATTTAATCAGCAATAACTGGAAATAGCAGCATACCAGAAAGTTGAACACATGAATACCGATATTCTCGACACGCTACTGTACAGATACATTGCGACCTAATTCAATATTTCTGTAATCTCAACTCTGCCTTATAAGAATTGACACCAAACGTGCGCTAAATTACAATTGGCAAGGGTTGAATTTGTAATAAAGTAACTAAAACTTATTCCTATTTCGATATAATATATGTAATATCTTGTACTTAAACAAATTATTATACCTAAAAGATAAAAACAAAAGTTAATTTGAATATAACTCTTCTCAAAGTAAAAATTGAAGCATAAAGAAGTCAAACATGCAAAAAAATTAGCGTATGGCAGAAAGAAAGATGTTCCACTTATGTCGGTCTATCGAGTGTCCCCATTACACCAGTACAATGTAAAACACTCAAATTCAAAATGACAGTATGCTATGTGTAACTTAACATGATGGCAAACTATCCTACCGAGTATGAGAGCTTTCTATCTAACAGAGGAGTGGCGTTAACAAGGTATCATTTGATAGGATAGTCCAAACAAAAGTCAAAGTCTCATAACTTCCGTACAAATGGTCAACTAAAAATGACGGTGCTATATGGTTAATTGCATATGACGGCAAATTTAACAAACCTGCCAAGTATGAGAGGAGTTGCATTCACAAAGTGTCATTGCTTTAATTCTCAAAAACCGGTCACAGTTCTGTTACTTCTGTAAAACTGCAGCCTCAAATTGGCGGTACAATATGGTCAGCTACACAGAATAGCAAGGATTTTTTGGCTTCTAGATCATATTTTGAATTATCTTCGTTGAGAAACCTTTAGTACCTCATGATTATAAATACAACATTTAGGTGACTCATGCATGAATACATAGATATATATACAAAATAACACCTTTGAACTCGGATACTCCTAGGTGACACCTTGAATTTCACACGTGGGTTTGCATGTATTGGTAGATATAGATTGACGCCCGTTGACTGTGTCGTTGCTTGTAGTAGTATTTTCTGAAATGTCACATGCTTTTAATCGAACAACTGCGTATCAAACAGAAAGTATAAACTTGTGGTAAATTGATGGAAATTTCTACAAACATTGAACTAGTTTAAAAAATTAATTGATGTTGTGCGACATACTCTATCTTTGATTAAATATTATCTAGTAATAAATTATTGACTGCATATTGAACAGTTATTGATTATGGTGTTGTCTTTCTTCCTTTACCATTGTCGACTTTTTTATTCATATTTTAGCGATAATGAATTGATATAAAATGTACCATTAATTAGCCATATTTAAAATAGGTTATCATATAGTATCCTTTGGATTATAGATCATTTGTAGTGATATCTAGGATGGGTTTTACCATTTGTATCGATTTTTTATCCAGGTATGAGAAAAATCACTAATGTATATGTGCGTGTAGTCCTTGTGTAAAATGTGGAATACACTCATTGCAATTTTAACAATATTTGGTAAGTACTTTTAAAATGTACAACATTGCTGAAACATTTTCTATTCTAAAAGCTATTGGTGTCGCTTCAACATATAAATAACTAGATTTATTTAACTCATTTAAATTTTGAGAAAAAGAGATGAAGTCATGTGAAAGATGAATTAAAATAGAAGACTGATTCAAACAGGTAAACACTGAGTCATTGCATATTAATTATTGTTTTATTGTTGTTGAAGTAATGTAAAAAGGACGAAGGTGAAAACAATAGTACTGTATCAATGGTGTACCAAGTCAGGAATAAGACAGTTGTTTTCCATTCGATCCGTTGATATGACATAGTTTAACGTTTATATTTGTCAGGTTTTATGGACTTCCCCCTTTTAAATTGACATTGGTGTTCGAAATGTTTGTTTATACTTTTTTTTCAAAGATACACTTTATGAGAAAATATTACAGTGTATTACCTCAAAATTACAAAATAATTTGAACTGTTTCAAAGATGATAGCTAACACAAATATTTAGTGCTTCCTGATCTTTCAGGATCATTTTCCCGATCATCGTGAAGCCGTGTCTGATCTTTCACGATCAAAAATATCATCTTTATATAAATTGTCTGTTTTTGCAAACAATGAAAATAAGCTACAGCTAAACAATTTTAGAAGTCTCTGCAACTACATGTAGTAAAATATGACGTCTTTGTTCGGAGAAGTGATATGTCATTCATATCAAGAACACATCTATGTTTGTTTACACATTGTATATATCATTGACATGTTGTAGTGCTAACTGACATTTTGCAGTTGCGTAAAATGGTGAATATTTAAAATTTGAATTTTCTCAGATAATGATCATAATGTTGAATCATTTTGAGACAATTGTATTAGTTACAATATTTGACTGGCCTCCAGATTTCCAGGCTTATAGGGGTACACAGTCTAAAAAAGGAGCTTATTGCATATTTATCCAGTACAAACTGAAAGAAAACACCCATTTAAAGTAATTATAACAGATTTGTTGAAATCACAGTGTAAAGTTCAAATATTTGACTGGCCTCCAGATTTCCAGGCTTTTAGGGGTACACAGTCTAAAAAAGGAGCTTATTGCATATTTATCCAGTACAAACTGAAAGAAAACACCCATTTAAAGTAATTATAACAGATTTGTTGAAATCACAATGTAAAGTGTCTTTTTGTATACCGGTATTTCGACATAAGGAGTATTCGATGGTGACTTTTTGGTCAACGAACGCATTTATAATGTACACATATACTGCATTGCCGCCGAGTAGTTTCCATCAAAGGGTTTGAATATTCAAATTTTACAACACTGGAATTTAACATCTTTTTGCTCTTTTTGAGAAAATGTAATTTAAACTTGCAATGAAATATGTTTAAAAAAAATTCATCATGTAAGCTTGTAGTAGTTTTTTAAAAGGTTTACAATTTAATGATGCATGCCTCTAAGACACATACCATGCGAAGCGTAACAGTTTCAGAAGTTATGTAAATAACAAAATGACATCATAAATATGCATTGACTTACTATACATATGGAAACTCTATAGAGCAGAGCAATCGAATTAAAAACACACTGAAATCCTGTCGGTCGATTTATGTAGGATAAAGTGATTTTCACTTCAAACAAAAAGATAAAACTTCCTCAGAATTTGTATGTACTTGACGGCAAAAAAAAATGTAACCAACGTAAAGTGTTACAAACGAAAAACGTAAGTGAAGAAGAGATAATCAGGAAGAATTCTCAAAAGAGTTGGATAAAATAAAATACTTAAAAAGAGATTTAATAATATTCAAATACAATAACCCTTAAAAATCGAAAGGCTACTTTCATGAATGTGTATATTTGTATTCTTTGTATTGACTGTTCCTATGTTACACATACATTGTATAATGAATATATCATTGGTGACGTTTTGGTGACCATAAAAAATGTAGTATAGCATTTTTTATATTTAATAACTACTCTTCAGAAAAATGTGATGTGCAATGCAATACGGAAGAAAAGGGTGCTTTTCTAAAATTTTCATGTTTTAAGACAAAGATTTTAAGAAGATTTTGGTGGTGTTTGTATTGTTCAATCTTAATATTTCTATATAATGTTTTGTTGACTGTTGTTTGTCGTTTCATGTTAAGTTGGTAATTGGCCTCCAACTAGGGTTTTCTAATATGTTAATTGCATATTCCTTTGATTTGCATAAGTCTTATCGAAAATATAAGACAAATAGAACCAAACTTGGTATATTAAATTGCGATGATTTTAAACATAATGTTTTGTCATTTATTCTAATAATCAGTCATAAATTTAAGAATATAAAAATTAGGAGATCTGGTGCGATAGCCAATGAGGCAACTATTCATCAGAATTCAAATGACGTAAATGTAAGCAATATCATGTCATCGACTGGTCTTCAACAATGAGAAAAACCCATACCGTACAAAAACCATTTGATCTTTCTCTACATGTCAGCTGTTAACAAACTTATTTCTTTTAATATTTCAGACTTTGGTGTTTGTGAAACGGTTTATCATGTTATAGGATCAGCTGTTACATTTTCTTGCCATGGGAACAGTGGTGTTGTTTGGAAAGGACCATATGATAGCAGCAGGATTTATTCAGAAGCAAATCACATAAATGAAAATCTGCCAATAAATTTAAGCAGTCGTTTATTTACAATTGGAAATATTCTGAAATTAGTTAATTTACAGTTAACCGACACGGGGTTGTACGAATGCTTCGTAGATATCAATACGAAAATTCCAGTAAAAACCTTCAATCTGTCGTTTCCCGGTAAGTGTGCATGTAAAAGAGAAGCAGAAGATACCATAGGTCATAAGTCGATGACAACCTGACAACGCCAACCAAGATACGAAAAGCGACCAAAACACAAACAACAGTATACAACACACATCATAGAAACCAAATACTAAGCTACACGAACCCCACCAAAACCTGGGGTCATTTCAGGTGCTCTGGAAGGGTGAATAGATCCTACTCTATATGTGCACCAATCGTGTTACATATCTGAGTACAAACTATAGGAGATAAGTCTTATGTGGTTATGTCGCATTCGAGGAAATAATTATGTAATCATGGCATGCGGTGACTATTTTTATGTCAAAACAAAAAAGTGTAGTATTGAGTGCTGGTAAGGATTACATTTTGTAATTGATATTTAATTCATTCTTAATAATAGATCATGACAATGTCTTATATTAAAGAAATACATTATGTACATCCACATACACTTAACATATTCTATATATATTATGACAAATATAAAAAGTTTGCAATTCAGAGGTTGTTTCAATTTAAATCGTTTTCATTAGTTGTTTTATATTCTAAGTCATGTTTATATAGCTGTAGAAATAAGATTTAAATTTGACTGATATAATTTCATTCTTAGACATGTTCTTGCATGCGTATTCTCTATCTACAACAATTGCTCACTTTCTACAAAAATTTATCTGGAAGCTCGTAAAAATGGTACAATTGCGATTATAACATTATTGTAAAATATACTGGTTGATAGATAAATAACATTTTAAGAACATGTCTGAATAAAAAACTATGTTTAATTTTAGCGCTTTTGAGCTCATCAACTCCGTCTTACTATAGATATATGTTGTTGGATGCCGATTCACAGAACCTTTTTGTAGGTTATATGTAAGTATACGTTTAAATGTATGTGCAATATTCTCGGGAGGGGGGGGGGGGGGACTTCAATACTTAATTGATAGGGGTACCGCTGGGATTCTGTTACCCCACCATTTTTATATAATTTAGATTTTTATTAAAAATGTATACCTTTCCATACGTTGAATTATGTACTAAGTCAACCCTCTTGCTGCCGGTAGTTTTATATGATTGCATTTTGTGTGCCAGAAAATACATCAGCTGGACCAATTGGAACTACTCGGCATTTCTGGTTGCACGAAGAAATAACTTATTGTACTGCGTAGCGAGAATGGCCGAGTAGTTACGATTGCAGCTGGACGTCTGTGACGTCACATGCCCAACAATGACGTCAATCGATATATGACGTCACGCCCTAATGATTGGGGACCCATTGAAGAAAACTATTATACTGTTTAGTCTTATTTTATTTCAAAGAGATACAGCAATGATGAGAAGCTTGCATAAATTAAAACATGGACATATGTGTCCTTCAGCACAGCCGGTGTTGACACATGTGTCCCTCCAGCAGCAATAGAGTTACGTGACGTCATTGATACGTGATAATTTTTAATTATGAGTCAAGGAGCGGACGAGAATCACATTCTGGCATAATCGATAAAATATCACCTTTGCTCGGAAATCAGATCTGAGGCTCAGATTCCTTATGTAATGTTTACTTACGGCGAGACTTTCGGCTGTGAAAAATTACAGGGCTTTTCATGCAACAAGTAATGTGAACTAAATTGAACTTATCCTGAATTTCTGATTGTTTTTCCCCACCTATTCACATATATTCGAACTGGAAAATGTGACCTATTCCAGCGGTACGTCCTATCTATACAAGGTGAGGAAATAGCAAAATCTAGATGCTCTTTTATAAAAAAAAAATACTTCATCAAGTTAATGAGGAAGAACGACTGAAATTATGATTTTATTTTATAAGTTCTAGGTAGTCTAATAAAGTAATGTTACAGTGTCTAATATTTTCAGCTTTTTATAGACATTTCAACTGTTTCATAATTACACATATCCACTATTTATTATTTGAAATTACCGGTTTGGTCATGTACCTTACGTAAAAACTTACTACTGGATATGACTTTCGAAAAGATTAACCGATGTTGCGTTTATAGCTGTTTGTGTTTAACCCGTTGATACTCCTTTTGAACTTAATTAGATTTCGACTGTTTTACTCTGATGTTTGATCATACCTTGAACTATGTCATTAATTAACCATGCAGCTGCACATTTGCAAGTTAATTTTCATATCATTTATTTAAAAACAAATGAAGTACTGCTTTGAAGAATTTCGATCGGATCAGTCGGTTTTGATTGTTAAGCAGCATTTATTTTTATTAGCAAAACAATACATGTCAAATCGTTCGAGTTTTGGAAGAAATATGAATTGGCTCTACTCAAAGCAACACCGAAGCAGTATAGATGAACATATCTAAAAATATATCTTATTTTCAAATCTAAAAATAGCTTTGCTATTCATGTTAAAATATTACAGATCATGTTTAGATTTCGATGATTGTTTCGGTTTGTTAATGGTAATTTTCGTCGTTGAGCTTACTAGGTTATGATATCAAACAAGCACATGTTTGTCATTTTTGTCAACTAATTGTCATTAAGAGAACTATCCAATAAACATGAAAAAGGCAAACACAATTTAGGATCAATATTTAAATTCATTGACTTGCTGTTAACGATATTCGATAAATTATGTTTTCGATTTGCCAGTTAATTATGAACAAACGTAGGTATATAGAGTATATTACCTTAACAAGACTGCAACCTAACAACACCACTATACACAAAACAAAAAGACATATAAGCTGACATTATTTTTTAAACGCATCAGACTTGCAATTGCATAGCACAATTTTCCTAAAGGTGTGATACAAATCATTATTCGTGCCAAAATACCGTTTTATTAGTAGCCTGATACTCATAACAATCTATCTTTGGTACAATTAAATATATTTCAATGCTTTTTTATATAAAAAAAATATTCACAGGAATCATTTAGATATACTGGATATTTCCGACCAGCCAGTGTTCCCAATCCAACCGGTAAGTTTATAATTAAGTAGCTACAATATTGTTTTATTTCCAAATTTGAATAAACCAAAAATCGAATTGTAGGATTACAACACACATTTTGATAATTTGGTTTACTGTCATTTTACTATTTATTGATTGATTTTTAATGTTAAAGTTGAACTTGCAATAATCTTTCTAAAGCTTTATGGTCGTCATCCTGATTTGGTTTACCGTTATTAAATAAATGCGTCACAAATTACCATGGATATCTCCCGATTGTCATCGACGATTTCTCCTCTTTTCCTAGTTTATAACTACACCGGAGCCGACTATACTTACTTGAATGGAACTTGCCATAAAACACCTATTCGGAGGACTTGACGAAACACCCTATTTTTCGAGTTTTCTGTGCAGTTTTTTTACGAATAGTTGTTTGACCTTTCGTCCTTTTTCTTTAAGTCTTGATGCTGTCTATTTTCGACTTGGGTATTTTGATTGTCCTTTTTGTAATAATGTGAATATTATTAAATTAGTTTCGTTTCAAATGGGCATTCGGTTTGAAGCAGCTTTTCCTTGAAATATATGTAGTGTCTCATAAATGTAAAACAGAAACTAAAATCCATATTTATTTGTAATTTTAATCCTTTACTTTCTACAGTAGTTGCTCTTCACAAAACTTTTATGACGCCAAAATACAACGACATACTTCTCTACACTGTAGTATTTGCACTGATCGATCGTAAAATAATATATAAAACGACCTCAATTATGGTAAGATGTACTTATGATAAGATTTGGACTTTGTAGATGAAAAACAACAGCAAATTTGATGGTAATTGAATCTCCTGCAAATGACTAAACAATGCTAAACAAACAGTTAAAGATTTGTGCAACAACACTTTTCCTATATTATAGATGCATATTTTGTCAGTATCGTTACACAAATCTTTTAACGTTTGATTATTTATTGAGAATAATTCAAATAACAAATTTTAATTAAAACTGTTAATCTACATTTTGAAGTGAAATTTCTAATTGCAGAAGTCGTCGTATTATTTCACACCTATTCAAAGCAACTTAGACTACTGTAAACTTTCTAAACCAGAGGTAAGGTTTGTTTTCAAATAAGCGTAATTCATTTTTTAGCTCACCTGGCCCAAAGAGCCAAGTGAGGTTTTCTCATCACTTGGCGTCCTTCGTCGTCGTTAACTTTTACAAAAATCTTCTCCTGTGAAACTACTGGACTAAATTTAACCAAACTTAGCCACAACCATCATTATGGTATCTAGTTTTACAAATGTGGTCAAAGACCCCGCCTGCCAACCAATATGGCCGACATGGCTTACAATAGAACATAGGGATAAAATGCAAGTTTTGTCAATTATCTTCCAAACCACTATTGATAAAGAAAATCTGACTTTGCACTTCGGTGTTCCTGTTGTTCCTTTGTTTTCCTCTTATAGTTGATGTGTTTTCCTCGGTTTTGGTTTGTAACCCGGATTTGCTTTCTCTCAATCGATTTATGACTTTTGAACACCGGTATACTACTGTTGCCTTTGTTTTGCAAAAATGTTCAGAATGATAAGATCTACGTATTGTCTGTGTACATCAAAACTGTCAGACGACTTCTTATAGGAGTTATTGCTCTTAAATGACGAATTTTACATGTTTTTCTTCATTCTTGCCTATTATCTTGAAAATCATAAGAGATAGATAGAAACCTATATCAGCAAAAATGTTCACCAAGACAGGATCTACAAAGAAGTCAACACGTCGAAATCATCAGACGACTCCTTATTGGAGTTTTTGTCCTTTAATGACGATTTTTACCAATTTTTTTCGTTTTTTGCCTTATATCTGAAAAAAAACTATTATCATATAATAATAGATAGATAGAAACTTAAATAAGCAAAAATGATCAGCAAGACAAGATCTACAAGTATGTCAATATTAAAGGTTGAAATGGTCTAACGATCCCTTATTGTATTTGTTACCCTTGACTGACGATTTTTACCAATGTTTGGCATTTTGCTTATTATCTGGTAAACTATAATTATAGATAAATAGAAACTTAAATAAGCAAAAATTATCAGCAAGACAGGATCTACAAATAAGCTTCATTATTGCAATAGTCAGTCGGTTTATTTTGAAGTTATTGCCCTTAAATGACATTTGTTACAATTTGTTTGCGTTTTTTGCCTATCATAGATAAAAACTTAAAAAAGCAAATATGATCAGCAAGACAAGATCTACAAATAAAAACTGACTGCCATGAAATAGTACAACATAAAGTGACAAACAACACCATCAAAATAACAAATTCTAAATAATAACTACCATAATCGAACGTTGTTTTCCAAAACGAATACATTTATCAAAAAGCCTAATTTAGTATCAAATATCAATAATGAGTTTGTTTGTCATAATGGCCGAATGCAACGTTCAGCATTATTGACATTCATTTTGTTTCATAACAATATCATAAAAATAAGTCGATGTTGTATGATTGCCGATGAGACAACTATCCATCAAAAACAACGTGTCTGTTTTCACGCAGATTAAGTCATTATATAAAATAAATAGATTGGTAGTTATAATGCTATATATGTTACAGTAAATTTGTAAAATCAAGGATTTCATAAAATCTCTAACAGTTTCGGTGAAATTGTAATAATTATCGATTTTGTACAATACCTAACACATTCACTGATTTTGTAGAATTCCTGAAATTGTTAGGAATTTTATAATTTGTAGGATTTTACAAAATCCCTAACAATATTTTCATTGATTGTATAAAATTCCCAACAATTTCAGGGATTTTTACAAAATTACTGAAACTGTGAGGGATTTTACAAAATTGCTTATTATTTTAGGGATTTTTACCTAATCCCTGATTTTACAAAGTCACTGTAACATATATAACTTTTACTACATTATCTATATTCAAATAAATGACTTCTTCGTTTTGCTTACAGGTACCATATTGTCAGAATCATATAAAGTTTATAACTAAAAAGAAAGACGATATTTTGTTTGTTTGTGGAACCAACGCAGATGCACCTAAAGGATTTGAAATCAATACAACAAGCACTGTTACAACATTTGGATCGGATGACAAATTAACAGCCGTACCATGTTCAAATGATCCATTTCACAATTTCACAGCTATTTACATTAGTGAGCATTGCATTTTTATTCATTTATTTATTTTACTGTTTATGTAGATATACAATGTTGATTTATTTTAATGAAATTTGTGGCATTTTCGGAATTTTTCTTGATGTAAAGGGTTATAAAATGAGATATAATGTTTTTCTAGCACATATCTACAGTAAATTACGACACCGGTTCCAAAACCTGATGATATTTTGGACATTCGGACAACAAAACCACCATATGATATATGTATTACTTAATTCCAAAGTAAAACGCATTTAAAGGAGTTTAATTTACTTTAATTGCTCCTTTGTCCGGCGACAGTGCAAGTCTTATTGACACGAGCCACTGTTTACATCCCTAACACTATTATTGATAGCACAGTTTTCCAGGATCGAGTCAGGTTTCATTTAGGTCACAACGGATCTCTGATCAGTATAATTGTAAAAAGTTATACTTTAAAACCAAGATTTGCACAAAGAAGTCCGGATGTTAACCAAAGTTTCATAAAACATCACTTGAAAAAACTACATTATTTCTAACCCTTCAGGATTATTCATGTATATAGGATTTTTTCCTTTCAAAACTTTTATTAATTAAACGTAGCTTCTTTGACATGTTTGCAGAATTATCGTTTCAATAAAAACTTGAAATATGATTAACAAATTAAAAAAAATTGTATATAATTTAAAGGTGTTTTGTTTTGTTTTATTAGATTTCAATAGGTTGCTTGGAAAAATAAATGTTGTCTATGAGCTGCATCAACGTACCCATAAATGAATAAATATTAAGTTTACTCACTACAAAAGTCTAAAAGTCTGAAAAGACCAGTTTTTGTCTCAATTTGCATGAACTTTTACTCGACATTCTCCAAAAGTATGACTTGTGTCTTAATTTTTCTTGACAAATTCTCATTTATATTAAATTTGTATGAAATTTACTTGACATATTCTCGACATTCTGAATATGGTCTTAAAATTTCTTGACAAATTCTTGACATTTGAATACTGTCTTGAAATTTCTCGACATATTCTCGACATTCTTATTTTTTATCAGTATGGCTTGACATATTCTGGACATTTTGAATCGTGTCTTAAATTTACTTGACAGTTCTGAGTTTTACCAATCATGACCAATATTCATGATATAACTTTAATCTTTATTTCTCTTTATATTATATACTGTTGTTTCAAGTTGCACTTCTTTACAACAAAAATAAAAGTTGGGCATGTAAAATAATTCAAAATTTGGGTATATAAATATTTTTACAAATGCAAAGATGGCTATGAAATCTAAAGTATAAAATAATTCAAATGTGGGTGTGTTGATATAACACAATTTCAATGTGGGTTTTTAAATAATTACAAATTTTGATTCCTAAATCTTATAAATTAAATGATTCAAACCAATCATACTGTAGACATATTTCATTCTACATTCATAATATTCAATGTTGATATGGTAAATAATTATTATACCAAAATGTGGTTTATATAAATAGCAAATTATGATGATATACAAATCATTCATTTTAAAGAAGAAAAATTTGTGTAATGTCATCTGTTGGAATATATTAAGTATTACACATGGACAGGATGTTCCCCATAAAATTAAGGTATTCCACACCCCAGAGTACACGCAACTGTCAAATAGAAGTTATTGTTTTACCTGTAATCAGCCATACAACTTATCAGTTGACCGACCATGCCACTACAATTTAAAAAGTTTGTTGATAGATGAAAATGAAAATCATCATTTTGATGAAAAATAATTGAATTGAAATGGATTTTCTTTATCAAAATTATGAAGTTAATTATTTTAACATAAAACAAATTGAATAATTCCCAAAGATTAAAAGAAAATTAATATCTACTCCAGGAATAATAACAAAAATGTATTTATAATGGGTCCCATCAATGATTTCTATAGAAATTATCGGTCTTATGAAATGGTTCTCACACAGACTTGCATAATATAGATCTTAACATTTTTTTCTTTTCAGGAAGGAGTTATCACAAATATTTATTTTTGATAAAAAATTATAAAATTCAACACTCACATTTGAATAAAAAATGTTTTTGGGTTGTTCTAAAAAATGAATAAGGTTTTTGAATCAAGATGGGAATAAATTCTTTGACCTAAACGAAAGCCCCCCCCCCCCCCCCTCTTGTTTTAGCCACACAAACCCAAAAGATGAATTGTTGGGTCCAAAAGAGATACAAGACACCTATTTTAGTAAAGCAAATTTGACTGGCAGTTTTGCGAACGGCAAAAATCTAAATGCTGTTTGTCAATACCTTTGACTAATATTCCAAGTGAAAACAATTACTTAAATGTTTAATAAAAATAAATCAACATTAAACTACATGGGGGATTATTCAGGGTATTCCAACTTAGTTGCACCAAAAGGGTATCTTACTATACCAAATTAATCCTTGATTCTTCAAAGTTTAGTTTAGCCATAATAAAAAGGAGAATACAACAGCAATAGAATGTCATAAACAGTGCAGAATAAGTCTGTTCACATTTCAGGCTAAATTTATACTGTTGAGATAGTGTCAAGACATATTTAAGACTGTCAAGAGTGTGTCGAGACATATTCAGACATTATTTAGAATGTCAAGAATATGTCGAGACATATTCAGACATTATTAAGAATGTCAAGAATATGTCAAGACAGATCGAGACAAATTTAAGACAGTCAAGAATTGGTCGAGACTAATCCAGACTCTTATCAGATGATTCAGGAAGTGTCGAGAAATTTTAAGACAATGTTCATACTGTCAAGACACTTGTCAAGAAAAATCAAGAACCTTATTAGACAAATTCATACTATGTCAAGAATTTTTAAAAATTATTCAGACAAATTAAGAATGTCGAGTAAAAATTCATGCAAATTCAGACAAAAACTGGTCTTTTCAGACTTTTTGACTTTTGTAGTGACTGTAATTGCATAGTACATAGAAGAACGTAACCTTGCAGTTTTATTAGTATCAGGAGCCATAGAAATATTTTCAAACACATTACATAGTATGAATAAAAAAATATGGAGATGTGGTATGATTGCCAATCAGACAACTATCCACCAAATATCAAATGAAGTGGATGTAAGCAATTATATGCAACCGTACGGCCTTCAACAATGATAAAAACCAATAATCGACTTTATATGTAACAGACGTCTAGCTAAGGTCATACAAATACAAACAACCACAGCATATGTCGCAATGATTCATTGCTTAAGTGGTCTTTTTCAAATTAAGGATGTACACCTCTGAGGAGCCAAATTAAACTTTTTTTTTCTTAATCTGATTTCTGGATTTATATGACTGTAAGAAAGCAATTGATGAGGAAAAAACCATATGATGGTGCACTTCTTTTTTTTCAACGGCCATTTGAAAGTATCCCATTTTTCATCAATTTTTACCCATTTTCGGGCTATTATCATGAAAAATAAAATCACAGTTTCACAATTAAAGTTTTTTTCCATACTATTACTAAAGAGGAAGTGGACCAATCTGAATAAATTTAGCTTAAAAAAACTATAGGTTGGTGTTAATATTAGAAAGTTTTATAGAATGTTGTTGCTTTTTCGTGTCAAATTGACCGTGGTGTCAATTTTGTAAATTTGGGATTTTAAAATTTATTTTTTTTGAACAAAAAGCATATAATTTCAACTTCTTTGTTATAGAAGATTGAAAAAATTCATATCTACTTTGACCTATAATGGTTAACTTTTATAAATTTTGACTTGGATGGAGAGTTGTCTCATTGGCACTCCATACCACATCTTCTTGTATCTATATCTAAGAATTTTGAAAAGAAAATTGATATGGGATGTACATATTTTTGGTAAAATCATTTCTTCACCCATTTTCTCAATATTTTGGCTGATGACACTGACCGGATTGGTTTTAAAATTTGAAAATTTTATTACTCAAAAACTACTTATTGTAAATACACAACTATTTCACAGAGTTTAGTTTGATTGTAATTTTTTTTAAATTCATTTATATTCTCTACTTGTATCACATGTTTTGGAAATAATTCCCGAAAGAGATTTCAACGAGACTGACACATCAGAGGAATACATCCTAAAGTCAAGGATTCTGCAACAAGAAATAATAAGTCTGGATTGTTTATCTTTGCAATTAGGGAATCACATTTATTAACATAAAGTTTTTTTTCCACATCCACATTCGAAATAAGAAAATTTATTGGTGCTCTGTGTTTTAAAATACCACATGACCAAGTAAAAAGGAAGACAGTTTTAAATACAATATCCTCATCCAAGTAGATATAGCATGAGGGTTAATTCTATATCGTAAAATGTGATTCTCTGTACTATTAATGGTTTACCTTCTCTTTTCACTTTGTAACTAAAGCACTAACATAGGAGCATTTTTAGATTTTGAATACATCTCAGTAAGTATAAGTATGTAAACGGTATACAATGTATGATATGAAGCAACATACTTTTAATGTACACATGTATGTGTCTGAATGCTAATAATGTTTTAAGTATTGGTTTTCAGAATCTAAGAGTTCTAGCAATGATGATGATATTTATTATGGTAGCACATTGCATTCTGAATCAACAATTCAGAGACCTATATTCGGTACTAATGATTATATGAAAGGCGTAATAAGTAACAAGTGGATGAAAGGTACAAATAAATCTAGTTTTACAATTAACTTGTGTTTAAGATGATAAATGTTAATTGCAGATGCTGAAGCCTGAAGAAACTTTTTGAAGTAATATCACTAATAGATATTATCTTTTCGAATAGTTAAATAATCAATCGTAAATATATTAACAAAAATACTGAACTCCAAGGTAAATTCAAAACGGAAGATGTCTATAAAGCCGGACAAAATCAAACGCTCGACTATATCAACACACGGAACGAATGGTAAACAACTGTCATATTCCCAACTTAGTACAAGTAAATGGTGGATCAAACCTGGTTTATAGCTAGCTTCATCTCCCACTTCTATTTTTCCACATCCACTTTAGAAATAAGAAAACTAAAGAGTGACTAGGATGTCATGCTGAAAATTATCTGAATTAAATTGGTTCAAATACTAACTCTATGTATGCGCCGGTATAACAACACTTAGAGAATTAAAGAATAATTACAACTTGTATCAACGTCCCTAACGATCTTTTGAAAAAAGAGTTCACTAAACATAGCACGTTTATTAATATTAATATTAAAAAATCTGAAGTGGTGTTCAAGCTATTCAATATTTTTCTTAAGATCCACAGTTCGCAGGCTCTTTTGATGTTGATGATAGAGTATTCTTCTTCTTCCGAGAGACAGCTGTAGATGTACCTCCAAATGAATACAAAGTGTATTCCAGAGTTGCCAAAGTTTGTAAGGTAACCAATATATCACATATTTGTTAATTTTCAACGGTCATTTGATTGTGCGTCGAATTTATGTAGCAAAGTTATTTTGATTTGACTCAATTTTTTTTTAAAGTATCTTTTTATCGTTTCTGGTACATGGATATGTATTTCATAATTCTAATCATATTGAATCTGTATGACCATTCAGAATAATGGAACTAGTTCATTTTAGTCGACAATAGCATGCACAATTTACACTCAAAATATCCATTTGCATTGTCTTAAGGTTGAATTGAACTAAGGTGATAGCATATTCGTAATCTTTTCCCAACTTTCACGACAATTAGACTTAAAGGAACACTCTTTTTTTTAAATGCTTCTAGAAATTGATTGTATATACTTTGAAATCTTGATTTGCAGATAAAAATACAATTTGGTATAAACTGGTAAGAATTTGAAAGTGTGATAGTGTTAGATTTCTTTAACCAACTTAACTTCTTATACTCATACCAAGAGATCATGTGCATTGATATAAATATTCATATTCATTTTTAACAGCTTCATTAATCGATTGCTAGATGTTTCTTAATTCGTATAGCTTGCTGTTTTTACAATGATTTCAGTAGTTTTGTCAATTGGTGTGAGTAGACGCACTATCATTCCTTATAACATTGTACTATTTTCAGAACAAGGAAAATAAATTGTTCACATCATGACACTTGCAGTGGCGCACTTTTTGTTAATAGAATTTGCAATTAATTGGTATTCATCTTATTTCTGGCCAACTAATATAGTAAATGTCCTTTAAATTACAAACCCTCTTCTCATAAAACCTAAATGTCTGAATGTAAGTTCATGTTCAGGTTTGATATGCATATATATCACATCTCCTTTTATTCATATACAGACTAATTAAAAATAATGATTTGAAAATAATGGCTTCAACATTTGAAGGATCATATCGAACGATCTTTTTGCATGTGCTATTATGTACGTCAGTAAGACGATGCGAGGTAATACAGCAAATGAGTGGAAAAAATTAACATCGTTTATATTGATGAATTGAAAAAAAAAATCAGATTCATAAGACCAAATGCAATCAACTTTTTCGTTACGCACTATTTTGGTTAATTGAAAATTGATTTTTGGTTTTGAATTATATGAAACTACAAATTTAAAACTTCAATGTAACGATTCGGTAAACTTCGACTCGGGAACAAACTCGAAGGTTAATTAGCTTGATCAAAATCACTGAATGAAATATAATTTGGCGATAATACGTTATAGATTGATAACAAATGTAAAAACCGTGCTTACAGGATTAAGTTGGGTATATATGAATGCATTTTATTACAAGAAACTCGTTTCATATGACTGTTAAGTTATTACTGGAGGCAATATATACATTTCCTGGATATCTCATTTTCAATTGTGATATGGTTTCATGTGTTTGCCTATGTAAATATCTGTTCTTAAAACCGCAAAGACAGTACTGCAACTTTCACTCTGTGACGTCATACCGTACACTAACTTTCATTTTTCGGAAATTACAGTATGGGAAGCCCTGGAAAACAAGACAGATGCTGAACTATTTCCCCTGAATTTGTCCAACTCAGTCACGGGATTAATTGCCGAAAGTTATTATAACTAAGTGGGTTTTTTCATAAGGAATTTAGCAATAATTTCCCCATATGTCCATATCAAATGCGCATTACATTAAATTTTCAACGATTGAAATTGCTGTTGTACACTATATTTCGAGAATGATAATAGAAAATTGTACATGTTTAAAATTTAATTTAGATTGCAGAATTGGTCGACTGTTTTTTGCGTAAACGCCTGGTGGCAAATATTCCATGAATTATATTCAAGACAAACGTTAAAATACGTCGTCAACCAAAGAGTAAACAGAGTTTGAGTTCTATGCATTATAATATTCCTACCTTTCGAGTCAAATCCATTTGGCCTAATCCAACTAAAGTAAATCCAACAGCTTTGATTTCCCCAGCCACCATTTCGAGGTCTATTTTAAATACATGTAGGCGCAGATCTTTTGGCAATGAAAAAATACAAAATTTTTTTGCACGAACCGTGTGAAAAAGTTCATGAATATGTATATGACACAACACATGTATAGTACACTTATAGTTGTAAGTGATTGACAGTGCAGGGGTGCGGGAATATTCTTGTCGCATGCGAGACGCGAATATTTCCAAGCCCCTGTATTGCAAATCACTTAACAACTTCTAAATTGCACTGTAAATATAACTTGAAAGATCTATACATGCACACATTAGTCATATATAGTAACAGTGAATTCAAGTTTATCGTATCAAATAAGTGACCAATCTTTTATATAAAAATTTTCCATGAAATTGTATATGTTAAGTCCTATTCGCTTGTGTATATGCAGCTCAAATGTGCAATCTAAAACTAATGAACAGATAAAGCATTACATGAGGGTTATTTGGCAACAGTACAAGTCTAGAGAAGTTCGGGCCACAGTCAAGAATACATATATATACTATGATGTATTAAATCTCCTTAATTAAGTTTTCAGAAACAACTGTGCTATATATATATATATATATATATATATGAAATCATTAGACTTTAAACAGATGCATGTATGTAAGATATGGTTAGATATATAAAGTTCCAATTTGGTTGACGATTTCTGACATACTTAACGTCGTAGATATCATTGGTGTCTTGATCTAAATTATCCAGCAAATCAAAATATGTATTATATCTATAATGATTTATAGAAAGATATCGGAGGAAACTCATTACTCAGGAATAAATGGACGAGCTACCAGAAGACTAGACTTAACTGTTCCATTCCAGGGTCATTCCCGGTATATTTTGATATCATACGTAAGTACATTATTACCCTGTATTATATATAATAATTTTTAGCTACCACTTTTTTCTTATCTCATTTCACTCATAACTGCTATACAAATTGACAAGATGAACGGCTTGATGAAACTATGTAAAATTCGATGATATAATGTGTCTTACATGTATGTCATAAATCCTCCATTGAATAGAACCACCCCGACTGCTTACTCTAGTAAGTGGGATCGAGGTATTCTACCTTAAAGACTACGGTTGTAATGAAATTTGGTTACGTCGACTATTCCTGCTACCGTTTAGTTACACTGGGTGTATAAATTACGCACCGCCTTTCCGTCAGAATGAGGAAGATGAATCCGATCCTCCTGTAAGATTGATTGTTGGTTGCTTAACGTCCATTGTCAAATATTTCCATGCATGTTCAGGACGAATATAAGATGAGTGCCAAATATTTTAACCATTACATAATTCTTTCATGGTCCGATTGATTTAAAAAACCAGCGAAATCAATTTATTGTTTGATTTGTGCTCGACCTTATAATGTAAGAAACATTTCCCACTGGATGTATAATAAACAAAAATTCATCAATTTATCTAATGTAAACTTTATGTGGTTTCTCAGTTTAACAGTCTATTATTGACAAAACAAAGGGCAAATACACCAATGTCCACAATATACATACATCAATATGAACATGTTGATTTTTACGGTTTCCGGTTTACTAGAGACATATTTACAATGTCGCACCCCTTTGGTAGTTTAGTCATCAATTTGATCGTCCTTATATTCATGTAATATTTGCCACGGGATGTAATATACCAATTGGAATTTATACTTTGTATCATCACGTTTACAGTTAATGAGATGTCTAAAAAAATGTGTAAACGTCACATTCGTATTTTTCTAATAATTTGACTATAAAACGTCGGTAAACGTGAAACATATTTGAAGCTGATGTGTAAAAACGAATGTGGGCATTTTTGGAGATCTAGTAACATAACGTTGTTTGGTGAGACACTAATGGGGTGATGAAGGTTCAGTATCTCATCTTTGGTTGATTTATCAATACTAAAGCGTGAATTTATATACCGAGTTGTCAATACCATATTCCTTTATCAAGATCTGTTATATTCAAAATGTGATCTACATATACGAAAATATGTTGTGTCTTGGTCATTATCAAAAATGTTGAGTAAGACCTTTTGAGTTTCCTAAACATTTTGATTATTTAATAATAAATAAATTTGTGTTACATATATTTGTAGAGGATGTAGTAACGATAGATAACAGCATTTTCTACGGGTTGTTTACAACCAGGTTTGTAATTTGTTTTTGTGCGTTTTTTTTGTAAATGAAAACAATATTAAACAAGGAAAACATATATTATTTCATGTTTTATGGACTGTTAAATATAAATTGGTAGCACGCTTGTTAAAATCAAGTTATCGTCAATTTTACCGAATCAAGGAGTAGGTGTAGCAGGTATATTCTTAGATTTGGATGATTGATTGATTGTTGGTTGCTTAACGTCCAGTGGCAAATATTTCATGCATATTCAGGACGAGAACAAGTTCACAATAAATACAATAGGTAGGTTCTGTAACAGAGGCTTCCGGGATTAAGGTCGGAGAAATTTAGACTGCAACAGGAAATGAGGGTATATTGGATAGGGACAGAGATTTAGCCTTGCAACAGGTCACCTACGGACCCCTCAAATAGTTGTTGCAAGGGTTCTTAACGTGCAAAGAGCGTGGCACTCTCTTTACACGAGGCATCGGATTTAACGTCCCCATTCTGACCGGACGTGACTGCGAATTTGTACATCCCGCCCAGCCAAACGGACGCCCCACTTTAGCGAGGGTTTTACCGCCGGTCGGAGGAAGACCAATGGTGACCATATTTCTATTCCCCGGTCACCCTTTGGGGGCTTAGATTTGGATTTAAAGAATATATTTCATTACTATTCATACAATGAATTAATCTTTCAGAACCGGAAATCCTGCTTCAGCTATATGTGCATTCAGTTTAGTAGAAATTGACAAAGTTTTTAAAGGTTCATTTAAATATCAGCCCGATTCTAACTCCTATTGGCAGGAGAAGACAACCTCTCTAGACCCCAGACCGGGACAGGTAAGGCTTTAATAGTTATGGTCGCTCAATATATTTTGACAGAAAGGAATAACAAAAATTGTTGGGTATAGGTCAATAAGATAGCTACTAAAAAGAAAGAAGTTGACATAATGACAATTTGGATATTACATCTTAACGTTTACGATAAACATGCATCTGAAAAATCATATGGCAAAATTTGGGGTAATTTGCTAATTTGCATAGCGGCCATTTTGTCTTATCATGACGGCAGCCATTACAATAGGATTATATAAGCCCTTTTAATAAAAATGCCAATATGCAAATACATATGTCGAATGAACAATTTGTTTGCATATAGGTGAACTGTACATGTTTTTAGGCTTCTGTCCGTGTACAAATGGACATTGCCTACTCTGAAATCTTTCGGCCTTTTTAGTTTAAAAATCGGAAGCGTAACCATTGTGTAATTGCTATATAAGATCAAATAAAATGACGTAAAATCGTAAAATAGCAAGATTCAAAACAGAAATACACATGCAAGAAGATATTGTTCATGAATTGTTCGGATATAGGGAAACACCTTGTAGGTTGAATTTTAAAGTTAAATAACTTTTGCTTGCTTTCTTAAGTTTTCGGCCAAATTCTTTTAAAAACATGATGATTTCAACCTTCCCATTTCGTAAAAAGTCAAATTTTAAGCATTTTCCCTTAGAATTACACAGCATTTTTGTAAATATCCGCCAAAGGAAGTTTTTAAAGATACATTAGTTTTAGATACATGACGGAAAGTGACTGGATTATCCGCAAATCTATAATAAATTATATTTTCAATCTTAAGCTAAGGGAAGTAATTTGATCAAAAGGGACAAAGTCACGTGGTGCAAATGATTTAAATAAAGTACCTTTGATTTTGCCATATGTAATTACAAAAATTACTCATCTATCACAATACATTCAACAGAAGACAAAACATTACAAGGAGGGAGAACTTATCAAGATGAAGACATGAATAATGAAAATCGCCTACGCGGGATTTGATTTTAGACAAGCACATACACATGTGTTTGAATGAACAACCTTTTCAATTCATTTTTAGTGGAAAAGGATATAGAAGAATATGTAAATTATTGTGATCTTTGACATTCGTTATCCTTTCTCTCAATGTTTTTTGTAAACCGTAAATCGTCTCGACAAATCTCTTCCATACCGGAACCAGTAAATTTAGTACGATACCTAAATTAATCAGACTTTTTGTTAAACGTGCGACAGGTTTTTATTGATGAGACACTTGTATGATTTTAAATTGTGTTATATCAGACGGAATTACAACATTATTTTTTTATACTGTCTTTACTAAATCAAAATACAAAAACATTGAAATGTCTGAATTTTTAAATTACAATTTATCGATTGATGAGACACATGTATGATTTAAATCAGAACATGTGATTCACTAGAAGTACAGAATAAGATTTATTTATTAATACTGTTGCATTTTTTTTTCAGTGTTCAAACGATTCAATGTCGCTATCTGAGGCCAACCTCCAATTCATTGCCGACAATCCCTTAATGTATGCAACAGTACAACCATTAAATGGAGAACCAATTTTTGTGTTGTATCAGACGGAATTACAACATCTAGAATTTCATCGAAACTTAACCGAAATGGTGTTTTATGCTGCCTCAAGTAAGACATTTACTAATATAATTTAAAAGGTTTGTGGTAAATACCAAGAAAACACTGCTTACCTTGTAAACAGGTGATACTAATATTGTGTCAAAAATGTTTTACAATAGACGAAAATGTGAAAGACGTTTGGCCATTTACACTTGGATTTAGTTCACGTCAAGGCCAATTTTCCCTGAATCATTTCACGCTAAAGCCATTTTTAAAACATCTTTCAATGTTTACTTAATTTTCAGTATCCCATATCCACGAGTGTAATTTCAGGTTCTAACAATATTATGGCCTATTTTCAACAGATGAGCACGTTATAAGCGCCCACAGAATGCTCAAAAACGTAATTTTGACAGATTTTGGAAAATTTTGAGTAGTTTTCCAAAAAATAGTATAAGAAGAAAAAAATATCAAAAACCTAGATACAATTGGAAGTAAATCTATACATGTATGCTGTCTTTCGGATAAAAAGTATTTTATTTAGCTAGAGACATTCTTCGATGCAAAATTCTACAGAAACTTGGCAATTTTGTATCAAAACACCTTCACCAGCAACATGTAGCGTTGAATTAAATTTTTATTCTATAGAAATATGTAAACTTGTTAATTTTTTTTTTTAGATATATGATATAAACTCCTTAATATTCAAATACCAGTAACCCCAAGTGTGACTTGAATATAGAAATATGGTCACTTTGGTCTTCTTCCGACCGGCAGTAAAACCCCGTTTGGTTGTGTGGGATGTATAAATACTCAGCCACGGTGGGTCGAAATGGGGACTTTAACTCCGATGCCTCGTGTAGAGAGAGTGTCACGGTCTCCTCGTTGTACCCTTGCAACAAATCTTTGAGCGGTCCGTAGATGGCCTGTTGCAAGCCAAAATTTCTGTCCCTGTCCAATTTACCCTCATTTTTCTGTTGTATCCCATCTTCCCGGTTGACCCCTATTACAGGATTTACCTATTGTTTTTATTGTCAGTTTGTTCTTGTCCTGAACATGCATGAAATATTTGCCACTAGACGTTAAGTAACCAAAAATAAATCAATCAATCAACCAGTAGGATTTGACAACTTTTAGATTTTGACCTTCTGAAAAAAATTCATAGGATTATTGGCCCTTCTTCTATAGAATAATGTCATTTTAGTTTCGGCAAAACTCTATTTTATCATCGATGTTGTCATAAACATACATGCAGCATTTAGACTAGAAAGGAACGAAAATGTGCATATCTAGATTTTATGCATGATCCTGAAGTATTTGTCTTAATGTATCCAAAATCACCCGTACTGTAGTTACATACATATATAAGCTAAGACCAAATTATTGTTTGTATATTTTTTTTATTTTCCAATGCATGCATTATTTTGCATGCAAAATCCATTTAGTTTTGAATAAATTTAACCGTGATATATACACACAATCATAGTAGCTTAATTGTTAATCAATGACGAAAAAGTTCATTTAATATTTTGATATGGACAAATCTCTTTTTAGGCTCAAGCCTTAAAATGACAAAAAAAGGTAATTTATCATCTTAACGTAGACAAATCTCTTTTTATGCTCAAGCTTAAAAAAGGACCATTGGCATAATTCCATTCACATTCAAGACAAGTACACGTTGATAATATAAACTAATTACTAGAATATGAATAGAACTTTAGCATTATCAGCATATACATATACCTTTATAGATACTGGAAAGATATATAAAGTATTTTATAAGGATGACAAGAAGACATATGTCTCAGGTATATACTCGGCTTCTCTGGATCAAGATGTTATTTGGTCCATGAAACAGCATGTAAGTATGATAGTACGGTGACAAGTAAGGTAAATTTGAAAATTTATTGGACCGAAATACCTCATGTCTTATTTTGGTCTTATTGTGAAGATAAATATAATACCCTTTGATTAAGGCATGTCGTACAATGCCAAAGTGGTGCAGATTATTGAAAACTGTGGTCAAAGGTCAAAAAGGTGGATTTTAAAAGTCACAATTTATGGACTTTTTGGCCAATTTCTCGGTAGTCTTTCATGATAACTGAGAATTTTTTTCTGTGGAAGCATGCTCTGGAAATGCCCAATAAATTCAGCTAGTCATATTTATGCCTGATTGCCATAGATTAGTGATTTATCCCCTCGCCTCCAACATGTAAGAAAATGAAAAAATATCTTTATCTACAGAAATTATCGACAAAAAATATTCATATTTAATATTTAGCTATGCAATAATATATGAAAACATGTAAAGATATTTTTGGGGAAGTTTTGTTAAAATACCATAAAGAACAGAGGAGAAATGAGTACTGCAAAGTTAACACCCGGTACATGATTTAATGAAAAAATAATGAAATTCATTATTGATTATTTAAACCCAAAAGAATGTTGAAACTATAAAAAATAGTCCTCATGCATAAATGTCAGCATGAACACTATAGTATATGAAGTTTTTTTTTATGTTAATAGGTCAATCAGTACAAGAGCAAAAGCATATTGAGAACTTGTGTGACGGTCCCCCTTTTTTATAAAACAAGACAAACAATGGCATATATAGCAAACTTGACTAAAACCGATTTGAAAACCCGATATATATGTGAAATACAAACAAACACGATTCACAGAGAAACTACGCTACAAAAGAAACTGTCTAGGTATATAATGCACTAACACTAAACATCAATATGCACGTCCATTTGAAAAGGTAACGGAATACTAAGAAAAAAATATGTGATTGTCAAGGTATGTAATACTTCCGATACAAATATTCGATACAAAATCGATACAAAAATATCTCCAGTTGGTTTAAAAGCGCACCAACCGCGTGAGAAAGAGAGAGCTCCCCAACCACATCAAGTCGGAGGACACTAACAGCAGAACACTTGGAAATATTGGGCATTGAGAATAATAGTTCAATTATCGTAGCAAATGCTGGTTCACGACAAATTCTGTATGTAGCATACGCAAGATTTGCTACAAATAGTTTTGCTTTCACATGTCAAACAAGGTCCTGTAAAAAATCATAGGACATTGGGTTCAACATACTAGCTTACTGAAACTATAAAGTTATTCCCAATATCCATTCCCCAAAGTGACTTAGCTGGTGGTTTGGCGATATAAGCATTCATCCAATCGTACACTTAGAGTGAAGCTCGAAGAATGTGCTGTCTGAATGATGTATCTGAAGGAGGTAGTCTCACTAAGTAAGCACACTAAGAAAGCGCAGACTTCACTCTTGAGTTTATTCAGATCACCATGCACTGATCGAGCATTGCTTCTGAGGTCATATTGATCCGGGATGAATTGACTTTTCACTGCAACAGATGTGTCAACTTTAGAACCAGCTAGTTTGACAAATTTTTTATACATGCCTGGGTTTCTGATTTGCAGTGTAAGAAGATATATATGAAAGTTTGTGTCTAGGTGTTTGAAAGTTAAGTACAGATTTAAGAAGACGTGTCGCATTCTATAAGAGCGTGAGCAGCTGGTGGTGTGCCAGACATCAGTGGTCCAATAACTGAAAACAAGTTGCATATGTCGTGAACAGGTGAAAACCGTCTTGCGTATTTGGTTGAAACAACGCTTCCAGTCTGAAGCCACAATTCATCCATGTTTGACATCTGAAGAAAAGCCCTTATTAGAAATAAAATATAAGTGTCTTGATTTTAATATAATGCAACCCCTGGAATAACTTTTTACCATCTGTTCATTGGCAAACAGAGGCGGCAGAATGATTCTTATATCTGCCTCTTCAGTCAATTACAGAGCCGACCAGAAACGGCTTCACAGTCTATAGATTTTGAAAAGATCCCGCTAGCAGTATTTCGTCATGTTCTTGCAAATCAAAATCATTGTAGTGCAAGAATGCATAGTCACCTGCAAATCTTATCAACCCGTGTTCAGGTTCAGGTGCACAAAGAAATTTCTTACAATCTCTAGTTGATCTGCATTCAATGACTTGAAGAACATTAGATCTACCACCATTTGAAATTTGAAATAGACCTCCTTATGCGTTCTGCTGATTTTGTAGAATGTTCCACATTATATCTACCAAACACGTCCATGACACACCCGAAGTTTTCAAGATAAGCTATTATGGTTTTAAAGGCCACCTTGGCCAAATCTCAATAACTGTTGTACCTCTTTACAAAAAGATTTTGTACAATACCCATACCATCTCTGATCAGGGATGTACTGGTTTTTAGTATAGGGATATCACACACTCGGCTAAAGGTATACATTTCCGTACAGTATCACAGGAGAGTGCATTTTAATCATTATCCATATGAAAATAATTGTCATCTACTAACCAGGCAAAATATTTATCAGAGAGGTTGGAATAAATACATTGTTAAGCTGTGGAATAGTATATATAGACTGATTTGAAGCATCAGAAGCAAGTTATTTTTAATTCATCAAGTAGTTTACAATGATTGCTGAATGATGCAGCGGCTTGTCCTTAAAGTTATACTATGAAGAGTAAACTCACCACTGGATGGCCTTCCTGATAATTTGCGTCATTTAAAACAATATCGGCACGCTCAAATGACTCGACATGCCTTTATTGCTTAGCTTGTTGTATGACTTTTGTCTCCAGAATATACATTTGGACCAGTTTAATGGTAATGCCATGGAGCGTGTTTTAACGAAAGATTCATCATCACACGCATTGTTTTTTCCCTAATTAAAATGCATCAAAATGTATTATTCTTGTACATAAAAAGGCTTAATATCTATACTCGTACATACAAAAATTAAGATAATGCAGTGAAAAACAGGGGGAAAAAGGAAAAGGGAGCGTTACATGAGTTATTGAGTTGAAAATTGAATAGTAAAACTGCTATGTGATGAGTATTATAAAAAGGCTTGTAAAAGTTGATTTGTATGTTCTATCAAACTTTTATATATTAAAACTTCTTGAGTATTGGTTGTTCAACTACTTTTTGTGAAAATTTACTACTGGTGATATATATAAGAAATGTAATATACCTTTATAGCTTGCTGTTCGGTGTGAGCCAATGCTCCTTGTTGAAGGCCGTACCTTGACCTATAATGGTTTACTTTTATAAATTGTTACTTGGATGGAGAGTTGTCTCATTGGCACTCATACCACATCTTCCTATATCTATTTGACAGACGGTAAGATTGAAAAAAATGTTACATACATTTGAAAATCGTCCAATTCACTCAATTTATATGTTCATATGATATGAAAGTTTGATGTCAAATAAAAGTTGATACATCACTCTTTTATCTGATAACTACTTTTTGATGATATCTTCATTCAGGAATTTATTATAAGCGTTCCCGTGTTTGAAAATGAAAAAGAAAAAATCGAAAAGTCACACTTTATCGCAATTTTACAAAAAACGGCACCGTGGGAAAACTCTACGACAGGGCTAAAATGAAAGTATAATGTTTATTCTATCTTCATGTTGATTTTCGGCCGTGAGGTATTTCGGTCCATTAAACTCTTTAAATAAGCGACTTTTTCCTGATTTGTCACTCCACTTTGATTAGTAGAATAATATATTTTAAATACTTCTGATACTTAATGACTGTGTTTCTTACATGTAATTCTAACTTTACTACAAATATGATCAATAGCCAAAAACACTAGAGAATAACCATATCTATTATCTCATACCTGTATGTAAAATGTTCTCTGGTGAAAAACTGTTTCTTGGGGTTATTGATGTTTTAACTCAGTGGATTAACGCATAAAATTAATTCAAACTCTTATTGAAAGTTTGTCAGTCAGCGGCCCAGTGTTTACATCAACTGATTATAGAAAACATAATTCTCACACCAAAAAGTCGTTATATTTGTCTTCCCATTTTAACTTCATTGGAACCCAAGGATTCCACCAATGCGTATAGCGCAAGAATATATATAAGTCATAGCCAGAAATTAGTAGTACTTTTGCTAATTAATATTCATAATATGTAAATAAGAATTGTACCACGTGATAATAGTTTGAACTGGACTGGCTTGATATCATTAAAATCTTTAAAACACGGATATTATAAGTTGCCCGTCACAGAGACCTTGTTTATAATCACTCTGATATTTCCGTAAAGTTGTCAGGCGGTCAAAATCAAAACAATGAACGCGAATTTAGTGAATTTTTCGTGTTTTCGTGAGTTTATTCTTCTTGAAATAGGGGCATCTTAACTTTACGTGGGAACCTAGAGTTCAACGACTACACATACAAGGTTTGGACTTGCTTCGTCTTAGGACATTCAAGTTTCAAGTTTCACCATCGCAACCTGTTTTTGTAATGACCTTGTTAGCCAATTTTCAACACGAAGTTTGCAAATTAGACGTTTCAGCCATTTTAGCCTGTATTTTATACTGCAATGTTAAAAGCCTCTCGCTTCGATTTTTAAAATAGCTCAGGAACCTTGATTTTTGCAACGACAGTCATTATGTTTCGTTTAAATGGTGTATGTTGTTGTGTATATTTATTTTCTGTCCCCGCAACCTGTCTATCACTTAAATTAAAGTTAAAACAGACATTTTTTTTCAAAATTCCCTATCATTTCACTATAATTTCCGTGACCCGTATCCGATTTCTTTAGTATAATATTCAAATAAGCAAAGTGGCGTTGATTTCTGGATATGTGAAATGTACCTAAGGTTTAGGTAGGTTACAAAATTAGTTTTGGCAAAATGGTATGTCGAAGTGTATATCTCTCGAAAAAAAATTGTAATAATATTAACGGTACCAAAATATTTGAAAATCCAAAAATTATTGAAAACATGAAGAGCTTATAAATCTAAAGGACAAAAATAAGTAACAGACCAATCACAAGTTTGTGAAGATATTCAAATCATATAAAAATTACTGCTTTTAAATTTTTAGTTGCATAATATAATGCCAGTGTGAATAGCTTTAACAGCCTTGTACATGTACAATGTAATGCCCGATGTACATGTACACAAAATTAATGTTGCTACAGCGTTATCCCGATAATTTTCACCACAAGGAAAATAAACATTCACCCGATAATACTTTTTACTTTAAGACTACAGTAAAATGTACGATTATTCCAAATTTAGATGCATCTTTAAAACAATTCACTTTCAAATTGACGTTAATAAATAACAAAGTTATACAGAAAACGCTTCCTAATAAATCCTTTAAATATGCGAAATGTAAGTAAAAACATTACAGTCATTAATTGATGAAATGTGAGGGACAAAGATCCATTTTAAGAACTGTACCTCTTCGATGCTTAAATTGATTTTATAGTTTCCTTTTAGAAAGAGTGTTAGAGCTAGCAGGAAAAGACGACGATAATCGTACATATGTAGCTCAAATTCCGTATTCATTTCCTTTTTCATTACATCACCGAAGGCGAATAGTCACACAGATTTGTACTTGTCATGGGCAACTTAACTACATGTAGTAATGTCATATGTGTAACAGGAACCGAGTATCCTTCAACAGCACACGTGTTTGTCATCGTTTTTTTGTTAGATTAGGGTTAATTTTGAAAGCTTAGCTGGAAATCACTATCAAAGATTAGAATTATTTCCTTCCCTTGTTCTAAGAGACATTAACTTTAGGTTTCACATTTTAGATTGACCCAGTCTAGATACTACTTTTAAAATTTGAGAAGGAAATGTATGTACTTTTACAAACTGCTTGATGTCAATGTTATAGATATTTTTTAAATGACTTAATTTAAGTTGGAGTTACTTCCTATGATTGACATGTTGGAGGACAAACTTGAAGATTTTTTCTTATTTGCGTTACAATAAAATTTGACAAAATGTCTTAATTAAATCATTGTCATTATATAAGACTTAAACAAATGTAATTTGTTCAGAAACCCCTTTTCTTAAGGTCTAGCGGTCAGTATTACAAGTTGAAGTCGATGAATGTATGAAGGAATGTGTGCATGTTGCCCTCCAACACGGCGGCAATGGAAAAGAGGAAAAAAACTCTAGCTCAAATTAGGTCAATGGAAAACTATCTATAATATATACTGTACTGTCTGCTTTAAACTAGTCAATTAATTGTATATTGTATCGTTAAGGAATGAACATGCAATAAACCGTTTCATTAAAAAGGATGAACTTGCAATACATCGTTTTATTTAAAAGGAAGGTTCAGTGTACATAGGGACGGATACTAAAGTACAACAGATTAATGTGATCAATTGTGAGCAGTACCGACGAATAGATTCCTGTGTAAAGGATCCTCATTGTGCTTGGATCAACAAAACAAATTTATTACCAGAAACTGAATTCAATATCAAGTGTCGTGCACTTACTTATATTCAAGAACACCAACTGACGTAAGTTTTTTTCTGTTGTTTGTAAATTACGCATTTTGAAAGATTTCCAGTTTTCTTGTCGTTTAGATTGTAATTTATCATTTATGAACACATATGTTGATAACAAATTGTTTAACCTTTTGGTCCTACACCCTGTCGATACTTATATTTTGACATTGCAAAATATCATGATTTTCCTAGACTGTATAGGACGCCTTTACATGTTCAAACATGGTCATTTTTTGTATTCTTGTCTTTCATTTTTGCTTATGTGCTTTGTCTAGAGAGTGTCTACATGCCATTTTGTTTTTGTTTGTTGACAAAGTTGTTTGTTTTATAGTGATTAAGATTATAACACAATGAGGACTGCTGTACCCCAATTTTTGACATTTTTACCTATTATGTCTGTTTGTTTTGCTCACACATTGTTGTCAATATAATGGAATATTATGCGACTGTCATTCAAGTGAGAGGTGTAGCTAGCTATAAAACCATGTTTTATCCAGCATTTTTACATAAGAAAAGTCTGTACCAAGTCAGGAATATGGCATTTTTTTTTCCTTTTTTTGATATGTTTGGGCTTTTGATTTTGCCATTTGTTAAGGGACTTTCCGTTTTCAATTTGCCTTTGAGTTCCGTAATTTTGTTATTTCACTTTTTACACCAAGTCCGTTGACGGTGTAATTATTGATATTAAAGTATGGACAACATGTCTAAATTATTAGTTGAAATTTGGAGTGGAACTAGTTTTCAGTGACTACTAATACTCGGATATCGGTTCTTTGTGACTTTGGGGTTTTTTTTGTGCTTGTCTTATTTAGTTCATGTAGAAAAAAATCATTTATATCATGAGTTAATGTAACATAAAGTTACTCATGAAATCAGGAAGATGAAAAGGAAACATATACCAAGATATGAGAGATTTTGTGTGAATTTTAGAAATTATGTTGGGGTGTCAGTCATTGTATTTTTGTATGCGAAAGTAAACAATAGAACATAAGACAATTCAAGGGAGAAGCTTATCCCTGTTTACTATATCCAATATCCTAATGTGAAAAAGGTGCATGGTATGCTTTTAGACTTATACGAACATTTGATGCCCAAAAGGTAGAAAATGTGATACTGAAGGTTATTTTATTGTGATATTTAAATCTAGATGTCTGAAAATATTATAGCATTTACTGCTAATATTAACTATTGTGTACAATTGTATATAAAATAAGCATGCTCTTCTTCAACAGTGTTTTTCAAAAAATATAAAAAAAAAAAAATGCATTAAAACGAGTTATTCATTATTTGCAGTAAAATAATTCGACATATTGACATCTCTCTTTTTTTTTCTTCAAAGAAATAAGGAAGGAGTTTACACCCACATTAATTACAATCTGTCCATGGAAAATCTATATACTGGTATGTATTATAATCAATTATGAATGCCAAACGTAAAATACGAGGTATACATGAACGAACAATGAAGGAAATATTTTGCATTATAAAGGACATTACATTTCTTTTCAATCTGTTAAATTTAAGAGTTGTGGTTATTTAATCACGCCTTAGTATTTCGTTATTAGTTTAATTGTGTATCTGCAAGAGTTCATGATGTTTGTTTTATAATTCATCTCTTTGTATATTCTGTTAACTTCAACAGTTCAAGAGTATTCGCTATGCTAAACTGATATTCTTTCACACACCTTGAAGGTTGCATTATGATTGAGCGCCGTTTTTCTATACAGTATGTATATGTATTTTTACATATTGGGCTTCAGTTGTGATTCATGTTTTATATGATTATCAATTAAGGCTTTAAAATAAGTACAATTGTTATTTATGATATATATGTTTGACTTTATTTTGAAGTTTGTGTTGATCAAACTTTCAATCACTGACAAGCAGGAGAACTGATGTTATAACACCTGGTTAAATCCAGGACACTCATGTGGATAGTTTCGTCATTTAATCAAGTATAAAACCAAGTTTGAGCTATCACCCTCCTGTGGATAGTTTCTCTACCAAAACAGCATAATAAAATCTGGGTTAATCCACTACCTTCCTTTTACAGGTTTCTCCTCAAGACCTGCAGTATAAACCTGTTTTCCATATGTTCTACCGGTTTTTAATGCATTGTATATTTATCCTTATACCTCGATTTTGCACTTAAAATTAAACATTTCTCTCAATTTAAGTACATTTGTTATCACCTGTTGATGATGTATCCCTTAAAAAATGTCAACCCTTCAAAAGTCCACATTTTGTATTAAGTGAACTTAAGATTCAATCAATAGTCCAAATACCTCCTAGAAAGAAAATACTAATTCATTTGTAATAATCCAAGATGATTATGATGGATGGCTGGCTGCTTAGCGTCTTGTACTAGACCGATACGCTGAGACGGATTTTAAGGGCTCGTTCACAAGGTAACAGTCCGCAGGAAGACGTGTTACCATACCATGACACATTATCCCTAATGCTGCGTGCTTAGCGGAGAGGCAGCAAATACCAATTTTAAAGTCTTAGATTTGACCAGGCGGGGGTTCGAACCAATGATCCGCCGAACTTGAGCGATAATGCTACCACGAGACCACTAAGGTTGTCTAATGATCTAAGAGGTTATTTATTTAATAACAGTATAGTTTAAACATCACTGTTAGTTGTCATTTTATTTTGATAGGTCATCCGGACAAACCGAAACATTTGAAAGTCACAAAGACAACAGTGGACACAATATACCTCCAATGGTTACCAGGAAATAATGGAGGATACACCCAAACGTTTGTCTTCGATTATCAGATTGAAAGTTCAAGTTCTTGGACTACACAAGAGTACAACCAGGGAGTCATTGATGAAAGTTTTCAAACTTATCAAATAACTGGACTTGTAAATGGCAAAGTATATGTAATAAAGATGTGTGCGAAGAATATAATTGGTAGCAGTCAACATACTGATGTAATTTCTGTATCGACAGCAAGCAGAGGTATTGGTTTTGTCTTCCTTTGTGTTGACTTACATCAGGAGTTTGACAGTCATTACCAGATGAGAATGATATTTGACAATAATTTATTAAAGAACGAGCAGGCTAAATCTTAGCAAGATAAACAAAAGGGGGACGTTCTAAAGATGCAAATATTATGATAAAGATATCATGCGTACTTACATTGCAACTCCTATATTCAAACAAGAAAGTCATACAAAGTGACCATACCGATGTCACACAGTGATTTGTTTTAAAAAGAAGATGACCAAATCCTATTGTTATAAATCAAATCCGAAAAAGAAGAACATAAACATTTTTTTTATTTCCTATTATTTATATTTGCTTCAGATTATAGGTAACCGAAATTTCACACAATATAGATGTAACAGACCACAATCAATATTTATAACTCTTTGATGCATGCTTTGTTTAAGCAATATATTACATATTTTTTTTCGTTTCAGGTGTAGACCGCTATAAAATTCTTTTCGTAGTTGCGATCAGTATTCTCGTACTCATTGCACTAGTTTTCCTAGCCATATTGTGCAAATGGTGCTTTGAACGACACAAAAGTAAGTTAAAACGTTTTAAATTTTAAAAAGTAGGAATAAGTAAATACCTCTAACGATTGAAATTGATTGAATGTTGGGGTTATAAATGTTTTGCTGTAAAAAACATTGGATATCACTGATAATAATATTTGTTATACTTTATGCAAATTTCTTATATTATCCATTCATTTCATTGGACACGCGGCATTTGTTAATTTTCACTAACATTCTTATTGCTATATCATTTCTGTCGTTTTGTTGTTTTTATTAGTACACTATCTTAACTTATGACTTATCTTTTTACAATTGTCCTTCTAATAACATAGTGCATACTTGAATCATAAGGCATTCAGTATAATAAAAAAACATACTGACCTTGGATGAAGGTGTTAGGGTGATTAACACACTCGGTGAAAAAATTCCGTCTTGGGTGATCATTTTTTCCCTCGTGCGTTAATGTACTCCCTTCATCCAAGAGCAGTATGTTTATATTATCGCTATTTTGCGTATTTTTGTTTTGATTTTTTTTGTGATAATTTTTCATATCACGCTACTCGCTTGAGATAAAAAAATATTGTCAGAAACTAAGGGCGCACGTGCCGTTGTCAATGTAAACATCAACGACGTCATAAGCAAAATAGCGATAAACAGATTGTCAATGTCTTTTAAACTGGAGGATGTTTTTCGGCCATATGTCATCTCTTTCGATGAGATTGTAGATGAGAAACACCCTCTCGTTTGCAAAACCATCGATAATCTATAAATATGATTTCTTGTCAACCAATGTACTTTTCACCTTCATGTTATTTGTAAAAGTGTTCAACATTTTAGAGATAACTGTATTGTATTTGAAGCTTTGAGGACGTCCATCGCTAGTTTTACTGTCGCAAATTTAGTTTACCTGGCGACGTATAGCGGAGACAGGTGAACGGATATTTGCGACAGTAAAACTACCGATGGACGTCTGCAATGCTTCAAATACAATACAGTTATCTCGGTTCTAATGCAAAATAAACAAGTCATTCAATTTTAGTCATTATTTCCATGTAAAATTCTCACTAAACGAAAATTCCGCGAAATGATGTTATCTTCGTTGGCGCCTAAACTAGGTGACGTCATAGGTATGCTTCCGGGATCAAATGTAAACACCCTGGCTTCTTGTCCGCTTCAGAATGTAATAAAATTTGATAAAAAGAAGATTTTTAGGTGCAAAATGTAAGTTTTTTGCTTACTATTGGAGAAATTACATGTCAATACATTCCGGTATTCAAAATGTCGGCTTCCTTAGTTTCAGACAGGGAGATAGAGAATTTTACGCTTATTGTCATCCAATCAGAACCATTGGTACAAAGTAATTGCATTAGAATGCCTCATTTACAGTCTACAAAAACGTCTAAATATACATCATACATTATATCCTGGGGAATAAATAAAGGCAACAGTAGTATACCGCTGTTCGAAACTCATAAATCGATAGAGATAAAAACAAATCCGGGTTACAAACTAAAACTGAGGGAAACGCATCAAATATAAGAGGAGAACAACGACACAACAAAAAACACAACATTAAACATCAAATAAAATCATCAATACAAAACGCGTTAAATCCTCAAATAACGTTACATTTCTTCACGCTTCAGAACTAAAAAATGAAGTAAATTCATGATGTTTTTACGGACACTATTTCGAAAACATATTTACGGACTAATCACTTTCCCTCATATTATGATATATAGATTGATTGATTGAATGAATGATTGGTGTTTAACGCCACGTTCAGCACTATTGTACTATTTCGTGGTGGTCAGTTTTCATTGTTAGAGGGAGCCAGAGTGCCCAGAGAGAACAACCAACCTTCGGTAGGAAAACTGACAATCCTAGTCAGTTAAGATTGGAGTCGTGCTCACCTGCCACGTGCGGGATTTGAACTCACAACTATAGGGTTGACATTCTTGTGGTACAGTAGTTGGATTACTTAGACCACTCGGCCACCGAGGCCCCTATTATATGATATAGTTATCGAACACAATAAACATATACCAACATGTTAGGTGAATTTTGATACATAATATCTAGGAACATATAATCGAAAAAAAAATAGACTTGTATCATGACTGTTGTAATATAAATACCCGTATTCAACATTTGAAAGATGACATCCCCTGTAGTCTATGAGCAGAGTGATTATGATATTGTATGATTAAGTTTGTAGTTGAAATTTATAAGCTAGTTTGACTTTGCAGGAAAGGCAGACGATAATAAAGTAGGTGCAAACATTCCAAGCAAAGGTATATATATATATATATGAACAAGTCTAAATTGAAAACAACGTTTAAACCTATGATATATATATATATATATATATATATATACATATATAGGTTCAAATAAAATCATCAATACAAAAATGATCTTGGGATTACATGTACATCAGTTAGACAGCAACCTTAAAACTAAATTAATCAAAACACTTCTAGAAGTAAAACAATGATTTTGAAAATAGACAATTGTTTATACATCATGTCAGGCTTTATATTTCCCGAACAAAGAAAATATCATAAAAGTAATCAAACAGAAACCATGAACATGAAAAATCCGCCGACAACATTACGTTCTCCTAGTTATGAAAACATTAAGCTATGACATAAAACAACCACTGAAAAACTTCCTGACTCGGGACAGGCAAATGAATATGTGGCGAGGTTCACCTAGTGTTATAGGTATACACCTTCTATCAGTGGATCATCAAAGAATAGATACATACCAATGGACACAGAGGGAAAGTATGAAGCTTTACAAAAATCGTGTAAAAGAAAACAAAAAACGACAAGCACATACAAAACATAATAAACATAATATACCATAAGAATACTCCCAGTAATGGAATAAAAGCTAACCCTATTGCCCTGCTGATATGACATTGTGTTGTACATATTACGGTTAAATCTTAACTATCCTACTGCCTGTCGATACATTTATTTTTTGGCATTGCACAAGTCATGTCTTCTTTGACTGTCCATGACGTTAAAATACTAAATCCCTGGGATGTGTTTTAGTTGACTTTATTAATTGTTTTTGGCTTTTAACTAGCTGTCAGTAACTGCAAGTACTCTCAAATCGTACTTGCTTGTTTATTTGACCTTTTGATACTAATTGTAATGCTTTTTTTGTTATTTAATGTTGACTTATTCAGGGTTATATCTGGTCTATATACCAGCTTTGATAAGTGTTTGGTATTACTATAAATTTTCACTTCTTCGTACTATGAACATCAAAATTGTTTTCAAAAAATATTTCCTTTCTCCATTTGATGGGTACACGTATACCAAACAACACAATTATTTCCATTTACTTGTGTTTAAAGTAATTGCAAATGGCTGATATTTTTGTTCAAGCATATTGTTTTTCTTAAATTGTTTAACATTTCACAGCGGTATAACATGTTACTTTAATTATTCTTCCCTTAATTTATTTATTTTGTATTTACATTGTATCATAGATCAAATTTATTTGTTCAGTTATGTTCACTGGTGTTAATATGTCTTTTGATTGAGTTAAGCCATTTCAATTGATATTTTATAGTGTGTCTTTCGATGTTGTGATGTTACACTGTTGTTTCAGATAAGGGCGAAGGTTTGGTACCATTAAAACGTTTAAACCCGCTGCAATTATTTGCACCTGTCCTAAGTCAGGAATCTGATGTTCAGTAGTTGTCGTTTGTTGGTGTGGTTCATAAGTGTTTCTCGTTTTTTATATAGATTAGACCGTTGGTTTCCCCGTTTGAATGGTTTTACACTAGTAATTTTTGGGGCCCTTTATAGCTTGCTGTTCGGTGTGAGCCAAGGCTCCGTGTTTAAGACCATACTTTGACCTATATTGGTTTACTTCTATAAATTTTTTGACTTGGATGGAGAGTTGTCTCATTGGCAATCATACCACATCTTCTTATATCTAATTACAGAAAGATATGATCGTGTAGCATGCTACACTTTACAAATCCGTACTTGCGTATCCCGAAAACACTAAAAGTGGTTGAACAACAATAGTAAAATTACATTCTTTTTCGTTAAATTTACTTAGCCAAAAGGACATGTTTGGAGTTTGTAAGCTGTATGCTGTATTAAAGATATACCGTAAAATGAAAAATCATGCAGGGTTAATGATTCATCCACAATAAATCTTGCTATTGTCTAGCAACAACATATTTCATAAAATTTCAGAAAGTAATCAAAAGTTAGCGTGCAAATGGCTATATTATATCAATTTGCACTAGTATTAGTGCAGATAGTAATTCACACTAGTGACGTCATCAGTAAAAAAAAATGTTTTAAAGTTTTCAAGCTTTGCTTATATGAGGCAAGTGTGACCTGTGAAGAGGTCCGCATAAACTATTTCAATACCGATTTTTGCAAAATCAAAACTATTTAAAAGTACAATGTTTTTGAATATTTTTACTATTACAAATGAAGAATATATACATGTTTACCAAATCGACCATTATTAATCTTCGTGTATCTTTGTATATAAGATAAAAAATCTGTCTAATTGGTGACATTTCCAAGGGAAATCATTGTGTTTGCTATAAAATATTTAGTTCAAAAAGCACTAGACTCAACTTATTACGATCACACACAGAATAAATTCAAAATACTTGTCTTCATATCATTGTTATTATTCGTTTTGGTAATCAGAAACACAAATTTGCAGGAAATTGTATGATTTACAACGTGGCCGCCGCCGTCACCAGAACAGAAACAGGGTAATGCGCAAGTGCAACGATTTTGAATTCTTTAGTATATGGATTTTTGTATTAATTGTCTTTTGTTATTGATTTTTTACTGTTATTGAGGACTTTGTCTACATTAAAACTTTAAAAAAATATATTGCATGAATATTAATAATAAATTTCGTAGAATATAAAGTCTACTTGCAATACCAAAATGTACTAGGGACAATATTTACCAATATTCATTCAATAACCCTGTAATATTTGTGAGTTAGTAAACATTTTCACCAACTTATGATATATTTAGCCCTGTGTAAACCGTTTTTAATTAGTAAAAATATATTGTTCTTACTAATTAATATTAGGGGAGAATAAAGAGTCCCGTTTATCATTACTTTTCGTGTGAAGATTTCCATATGATAATATCATATTGAGGTCCTAGAGGACATCGATGACTGTTACTGTTTGATTAAGTAAGATTTTATTAAGTTCGATAATTTTTATTTGTAAAATTTGAACACATTGTTTGTTTACTGAGGGGATATTGTATAGCTATCTGCATGAAAAACAATAGCAGAATCACAGCATGATTTTACATGTAATATATCTATCCTTTATATCAGATCGCCCTTTTTCACCCTATTTGCAATTGTCTAGAAAATGTGTTGCCGCTTGACAAATATTTCCTACAAAAAATCACATAAACGCATATAGACAGCATTTTCTTATCATTTTTTTAAATGCATACATACAGCACATATGTTTAATAAACGAAGTTCACAATTACAAAATATTATGTTTGAAAACCTTATGAAATTAATATTGATTTCATTTGTAACATTAGGCAATTTGTTCATTATCTACACTTCAATAAATATTTGAAACATTATACTTTTTAGCAAAGCCTTCAAATGGAGAGGCTGTTTTTCAAACTGAAGACGAAACGATAAATATGGTATGTTGTACAATATTACGATACGTTTGATTTGGCACACGATTGTTTTGGTGAATTACCTCAAGCGCAAGTGAGGTAATAAGTAACATAGAAATAAGAAGATGTGGTATGAGTGCCAATGATGCCTGAATGCGTTAAGTATTTTATGTTTTAATCGTAGCTTCTCACCGTTTGATAATTACAATTTTATTAAACTTTTCCACATGTAACAAAGGAGTATAAAGAGTTTGTCAATATGTTTTCTTAAATGTACACGGGTCTGTTTTTTTTAGCTTTTGATGCATGTATTTTGTTTCGATGTTAGTAATCATAGTGACATTACGTGGATTTCCGATAGTTCGTAATGGCATAAATTGCATGTTAGCAAACTTTACTCGGTGTTCTAATTTTTGTCAACTTAGGAATGTATGACAGGAGTAAAGGTTTTATTTTGAATGCATTGATGATAGTATTTGACATTAACAACAGGTGCAAGGTTTGTAGTGTTCAATGTTCTAATTTTTGTCAACTTAGGAATGTATGACAGGAGTAAAGGTTTTATTTTGAATGCATTGATGATAGTATTTGACATTAACAACAGGTGCAAGGTTTGTAGTGTTCAAGTATTCAAAAGATCAACCAATATATATTTATAAATTGTAAATAATCTGTAGTGACATAGTCACTGGAGAAATAATTCCAAATCAAGGTCAACATTTATTTTCGCGAAGAATGATATTGCACACAATTATTAGACTTCAGTCGTTAGTCTGCTATAACAAAAGAACCTACTATCAAAATATGTTCTATTTATCAAGTGTGTCCTCACAGGGGATCAAAATGTCTTGGCTATGAACCCGTTAATTCAGCGATTCCTGGACAACTAGATTCATACACACGCAGTTTCGCTGTATAACATGTATTAGTTAGTACGTAGGTACACTTTCCTTACATCCTGACATAGCTGCAATTGCCAATAATCTACATAAAGGTAGGCGAAAAAAGGTGACTAAATATAGGTGTTAATTTGGAATGACGATTGGTTCTGTAAGCATCGCTCATATAAAATGATTTTATAGATACATAAATGCCTTTTATAGCACATCAATAACAGTACCAATTTTCTGAACCACATATGACAATTTGACAATCTACATCACTTCAATAATGTTACGTTTAAATTGTTCTTGAAACATATCATTCAAAAAACTAAGCTTGTTCTACCCCTTTGTAAAATAAATAGATAACATAAGCCATATTTGTCACATCTGTTTACATGTTTTTGTTTAAAAACTCTTTTACTTTGGAAATAATTATGATGCAATGTATATTGATCCTCCCCGTTTATTTTTTGGCTCGTGTTTTTATTTTCTGTTGCTTCCTTCTCTATTGGCCATGGTGTTGTCTGGGTGTTTTCAGCTTATTGATTTTAATCCCCCTTGATATTGTGCTAATTTTTTTAAATCACAGATGCTTTGTTTTAAAATGGTATAATTTTTTTCTGATAATCGCAACGCAAGAACAACACTACAAATAATATGTTAACATATTTTCCTTCCCTCATAATTCTCATGCAAAGTGGTTTTTGCAAATCCTATTAAGATTTAGAGCTATGTAATTAAAACATATTGTAGTCGTTATGAGTAGAGGAAGATATGGTGTTTACATACATACATAAACCAACAATCAGACACCATCTTAAAACATATCTTACATGTAATTATCTTTTTATATTACCTTTGGACATGTATCTGTATTTTTAATATGTATGAGACATGACATTGACCCAATTCAAAGCGGTAGGTCATAATATACCTTCAAATATGTACTGTTTGATCTATTGCAACTCATGTACAATCGCTAAAGATTTACGTTTTCGGCAAAAAGGAAGTAGAGAATCGAAAAACAAACTAAACAATGTGTCACATACACTGTTGAAAATACACAGTAGTTTGGAATAATCGGATAAAGGCTTCTATCACATAGGAAAAACTCTTTACTCTGCTATCTGAGAACAGTGTTACCGAAATCTGATACATATCAACGGACGGACAGCCGTTAGCAATTTTACCCTTGCCATGCTATTTCAAAGGTAAGATAGATAAGTTTTCGAGGACGATTTAGAATAATTTACCAATATAATACCAGGTACATATAATTTCAGAAATCAAATAACTTAACTCAAATCAAAAACTACGAAAAAGAAGAAATAAATCGAGCTCGTCAACTTGAAGAAATTCTGTGTAGTGAATGCATTACGAAGTTTGATAAAATCAAAATGTGTATACAAGGTAAGTTTACTCAAACCCTAAATTCGCATTTCAATTGAGAAGTATGTGATCCACATGCAGGGAAAACAACGTTGGTTCTGACTTTTTTGTTAAACCGTTGTCATTGATTTAGGTTCTTAGTGAACCCTAATAGTTATTGTTCAGAGATAAATCAAGATATGATGTGGTATTTATTATATCAAGTTAAAGGGCAGGTTGCGAAAAGCTAAGAACTGAAAGTTAGTCAGCGACGAAACGTCATCTACAAAGCAGATTGTAACTTGGAGCATTGTTAAGCATGTTTTGATTCTTGAGAGGTCCAGGTCCAAGTATGAAGTCTACGAAAAGACGAAAGTTGTTTCCAATCGGAATGCTGGCTAGTCTTATGAAAAACACGTACACTAAACGTTACAATGATGTGTCTTATCATCGAGTATGCTTCAAATTACTTTTTGTTTAAATTATAATAGGGAAAAGTCAAAACAGTTCGGACAGCTATAACCGTTATGGCATTGTCATGACATTGTTATACCACCGAAAGAGCACTCAAATATGGTTATCTTTCCCATATGAAAAGAACAATGACGCAAATCATTATAATTTATTTGAAATAAACACCAGAACGTTATATTCATGAATTCAGCATGATATAAATAATTGAATTGAATATTCTCCGACTTAAAGTATTATATTCAATATTTTCCTATTTACTTTACGCCTAAAACCCCTCTGCCGTTTAAAGTATAATTTGATTATTTATGTTTCTGTCAAACAAGTGTATATAACAAAATGATTAAAATTATTAAAGTAAAAACATGCACTCATGCTATTATATAAATCTTGCTGAAAGCATTTTGTCGGTTTTTTTTTATCAATATTTATTTTTGCAATGTCAATCTTAACATTACTTTTTTTGTATATCAGATAATAAAAAACAGATGAAGAAAAAATCTAAAAAATCAAAGAAAATCAAAAATGGAGTCAACGGATCAAACATTAAGTCAATAAAACTGCTATACTGTAAATATAAAAAAAGAAGATGTGGTATGATTGCCAATGAGACAACTCTCCACAAGAGACCAAATGATACAGAAATTAACAACTATAGGTCACCGTACGGCCTTCAACAATGAGCAAAGTAAGTTCATTACTTTATTTCATATCTACTTTTCATTAGTAATCTTTCAGTTACAGCGTATTTTATTTTCATGGTTTTTAAATATGATGATGTAAAAAGATCAGTCTGTGTAAATGCATTTTTTCTATACTTATTTTACGAGAAAATATATATTGAGGTGTTAAATACAAGTCACAGCTTTTTTATGTTTTTAGTACTACATGTTGTGTGTAAGAAAAAATGAAAAAAAAGATATTATTTTGTACATGTGTATTAAACCAAGTAATAAGTACATGGACCAAATGAAAAAGAATGCCGCACTTTTGTAAAATTTGCATAATTAACATTATTTGTTTTTGAAATTCTTTCTTGGTAAAAAACATTCCATAGCCAAAGCAAATCTAGGCTGTCATGTAGCCATGTGTAAACTTCTTGTATTATTATGTGTATTTGGTGTTATTTTTCATAAGGTCACTCGGCTGTAGACACGGATTTTGTTACATTTTGATATCATTGAAAACCACCAGCCAAATGAAATCAATGTTGCAAAAAATTGCTTCACTTGATCTTTTCCGAATGTTATTACTTTAAAACGGACTCGTCAAAGCGTACCGTCGTGGCCATTTCAAATTTCTGTGTTGCTGAACTTAAGGAACTTTTTTAAACGGCTGAACAAATTTAAACACTGAACATATGTGTTAAATCTTTTGATTGAAACATGAAGTAAAATGTAAGAACCATGTCTCAATTTTACGATGATGCCAAACAAAAAGTTACAATCGTAGGTCACAGTTTATGCAAATGCATATTTCTGGTCTTTTCTTTTAAGAGCAGATGAAGACAAATATAAACAACTTATTCAGAAATGATCCTTAGAATGAACTAACCAAGTGTTGTTACTTCGGTTGGATGAACAATCTGTTATAATATTTTTGATAATACAACAGATTATGCCAACCACCAACACCCGACCCTTTCGATGTTATTAATTATTTTTTTTTATAAACAGCCATTTTGTGGGTTTTTTTTTTTGCCAATGTATTCATTTGATTCACAGATATTGGCCTGGGATCTTCTTATAGTTGTTTATATTTTTGGCACTATATGCAACTTTACTTTACATTTACACCGCTAATGTATTTGATATTGATTGATTGATTGATTGATTGTTGGTGTTTTAACGCCACTTTTAAGCGCCACATTTGGGCTATTTCGTGGCGGCCAGTTTTTATTGGTGGAGGAAGCCGGAGTGCACGGAGAAAACCACCGACCTTCGATAGGAAAACTGACAATCCTAGTCATTTAAGATTGGAGTCGAGTGCACCCGCACGAGCGGGGTGCGAACTCACAACCTCAGTGTTGACTGGCCAGTGATTACAGTAGTAGCCACCGAGGCCCCCCTAATTGATATTGAAATTTCTAAAATCCATATAATTCATACAATTGCTAATTGTATTCGCTTCCTTTACACTAATGTCTGCATTTTCTCCATCGCTATCTTGTTCTTTTTCTTTCTTTTTTTCGAATAATTTACAATACTATTTTAAACCCTTCTGAAAAAAAATGTTCTCCCATTTGATGCAACGGCAAAAGTAGTTATTCTCTGTTGGGAACAATTTAACATAAATTTATACACAGTATCATCTAGGATGGTTATATGTTTATGTTAAGTGAAAGTGCTTGCAATAATTGAAAAAGAGTGGTATACTTTACAAAGGACAAAACTATGAGCAAGAATACGAAGTTTTATCGAGCACCAATTTTATAGTTTTACTGTTGATATTCACACCACATGCACCAATTTTAGAATAATTTTATTGATGTGACAAATTTTTTAGTGTTGTATCCGAACTCTTGACATTTTAATTTAATACACGTCCTACTTGTCCATACAAATTTTACACCGAAAGTGAGAGTGAGACCTCCATTTTAGAAAAAAAATGGCGAACTTTTAGATTTTAGACTTTATATATTTTTATTCAAAGCGTCTTCTCTCAAAGTGAACGTAAAATTAATAAAAGGTATTCATACTGCACAGAACATTGAAAGACCTTAACTAAGTATATTTAGAAAATAAAACTTTACAAATAGGAAATCCGTCGAACGTGAGTCCAGTTATAATTTTAGTTCGACACCTTATAAATCCAATCTAATTAGATAATTACTAGATGTAGGAAGATGTGGTATGAGTGCCAATGAGACTACTCTCCATCCAAGTAACAATTTATAAAAGTAAACCATTATAGGTCAAGGTACGGCATTCAACACGGAGCATTGGCTCACATCGAACAGCAAGCTATAAAGGGCCCCAAAAAATACCAGTGTAAAACCATTCAAACGGGAAAACTAGACTTCTTGCCATTTTTCTCCTTCATTGTGTTATAGTTTATCACACAAACTCTAAATTATATCCAAAGATAATTGATCACTGTAAACACTACTAGTAACAAGATGGAGAATGAAAAAAGGAATATAAGGAAATGTTCATCTGCAAGCTCTTTAAACTTACATCATGCAACTCATTCACTGAGGTCCTCTAATCTAAACCGACAAAAGGCCTTATAGAAAAAAAAGGATAGTTGTAATACAGAACAAATATTGTCGGAAAGGAAAGCCACTAAACTTGGTTATTGAGTTTACTACCTCAGCATATGAACTTTTTAAAACATTACGTCAACAGAATTTGGTAAATAGTAATACATTTAGTCCCAAAACAACAGAGGGATTAGACTGCCAAAATGCAAAAATAGATACCTGTGTGAAAGTATACAATGAATTAAGATATGGCTCTATTGGCAGAACATTAAAATTTGTCATAAACCTATACCACACATCATCCAGAGTAGTAATCAATGGTTACCGTGTAGACTTATTTGTATCAGATATATATACAGACCTATGTTCAAAATTATCCATGCGTTATGAGGAATTATTTGTCACAAATAAGGGTATTTTTGACACCATCGATCATACATGTACTCCACAGCCAAAAGAACAACAAAACCACATTGACATTCTGAAAGAAAAAAAATAAGACAACAGCTTCGTCATACCTTAAATAATAATCAGATAAACAAACCATGTATAGTTGATAGTGTGCGAGAGTCGCTTTCGATGACTCCATCCGATAGGACAAACACCTGCACTACACCTGGTATGACATGGAATACATTTGCCCAGTATGCTCTGATAATTTACTCTACACTCCAAAGCAACCTACTGATAATTCCTTGAATGAACAAGGGCATATAGATGCTACACTGTCTGAAAGTCCTCAACCTGATGTGGTAAATAGAAACAGATCACTTCCAGATATGACAACACCCAATTCAACAACTATTGAAAGTTCAGATAATATAAACATGGGTCCTAGCCCAAACAAGCAAACATGTCCATTAAATAACTTTAGAAAAGATTCATCTAATCAAAACCTGCCAGAGGAAGCAGGTGCTAGATCTAAACAAAAGAAGCAACCGATTAGACAAAATTCCAAACCAAATCGTGACAACTCATTACAAAAGTCATAAATAGGTCAATTAGAAGGTGACATTGGAACATTACGATCAACGCTAGAATTGTATCAAAATCGCAACATTCAAACCAACAAAAAGTGATATTCAACGATACACTTCCTAGAGAACACTTTTCATCTGACCCTTCCTCTGAATCTCCATCAAGTCAGTATATGAACATAGAAATTAAACTCTTAGAACAAAGGATGAGATCAATGGAATCACATATATCACAGAGTATGCAAATACTACAATTGCAACAATCACAAATGTATATGCAAATGCAGGCTCAATAGCAACAACAGAATTTATATCACATGGAATCCTACTGCCAACCACATCCTATGACATATGCTATGCATTCACTTGCATACCACATTCCGCCACGTCCGCCAGCTCAAATATATATGCATCCAGTAAATCCATTCTTGACCAACACAATACATCCAGGTCAACAACTAAACACTGGAAAAGGTAATATGCAAGGCATATAGATATGCTGCACATCACGGTCAACAATTTACGAACCCACATCATAGACAATACACACAACCAGAAGTTCGTTTACATTATTTCCAAGTAAATCAAGTCAACACAAGTTTAGATAGCAATACTAGTGTTCATATACCAAACGCCAGTAATATAGTTAAAACTGGAGTCATTCGCTCAGAAAAGAAGTCTGTTGATGTCGAACCTGAAGTTATTATACATGATAACCAAAGAAGCGAAAACATAGAAAGTTTAGACAAAAATGCAAGTAGTCATGTACAGAATACCATTGAAGTAGATCAAATAGGAGTTATTTCTCACAAGATTCTCATAGATAATGTTGAAACTTTAAACAAGGTGCTTCCTGATCGGGAGGAATCTGTGCAGAGAGATATGATTCAAAAGTCAGGAATAAAACAACCAGTGTCAAACTTTCAAAACGGTCAAAGGGGGATAATCTCTATTGAAGCAGAGGTGCACAAAAGGCCATACAGTGCAATGTCACATGACTCTCTTAAGATTCAAGGCAATGATACTGATCATTTTAGGGGCTCTTCCGTCCACCAAAAAACCACCAGAACTATTACTGATAGAAGAAATAATTACAAATCGGGACTAAAACTAGTTACTTGCAATATTGAAGGAATAACCTCCAATTCTGCCTTGCATACTTTTTAAACTCTTGACATTTTATGCATCAGGAACATTGGCTTCACGATTTTCAAGCACACAACTTCGACATTTTTTTTTGAAAATAAAGCGTCCTATGTGCTTTGTTCTGATTCTTACGAACAGATCTCCGGTTTTAATTTGCCAAGAGGAAAAGGGGGCGTGGGGATTGCTTGGTCATCTTCAATTACAGAAAAAGTAACTAAAATAGATGAAGGAAATGAAAGCATAATTGGAATTTTAATTAACTCTAATCCTAAGATATGTGTAGTATGTGTGTACCTACCAACCAACAACACATCTGTAAACTCAATAGTAGACTACGGCGAATGTCTAGATATTTTAGACCATATACTAAACAAATATAGCGCTACATATAAAATTGTGATAGCAGGAGACTTCAACGGAACACTCTTGGATTCTAGAGTCAGCAACAAACATGATGTCAGTATTCAGGCATTCGTCAGGGATCACAGATTACTTGTGCCATTGTCAAAAAAACCCACATTTATACATCATTGTGGAGTTAGCTCGTCTCAGATTGACTATATACTCTCAACACATGAAGATGTGATTCTAGACTGTGTTATTCCCGAAAAGCACGACACAAATCTCTCGACTCACAACATCGTAACTGCGGTCGTGGACACTAACATTGCATCAAAGTTGAAACAAAGTCATCAGCCCACTGCCATCTGGAAATACCAATGGGATAAAACCGATCTTTTAACATTTCGAGATACCCTTCAACTTGAATTAGGGAACTGTAATGTAGCAGAATATTCTGAAATAAACCTGGAGTTCTTAATGACAATCTTGCAAAAAGCTACCAAGGTTTCTGCCCCAAGGAAAATTATACACCTTAAAGGTCCTAAGTGGAAGGCCTCTCCTACAGCAAAAATCCTTATAAAGGCATGTCACAAGACATACAGAGAATGGTGTGAGAACGGCAAACCAGAGGGTCAACTGAAGCGTAAAAATCTCGAAGTTCAAAGGGAACTCCGTCGTCAATTTCGTATGGAAAAAAAAATATCTGTATAATCAAATCATGCAAAACCCTTCCACGGAACTATTACATCGCCTCATTAGGAGAAATAGGGGAAGCTCAGTAGTCAAAACTTCCTGTTTGAAAATAGACAATACTGAAGTAAATGACCCAGAGAAGCAGCGTGGATGTTTTATGAAATATTTTGAAGATCTAGCCATCCCTAAGGATAAAGGGTATGATGAAAAATATTTTGATCTTTGCACCATTAGGCATAAACTTATCTCTGAATTGTGTAGCAACAGCAAAGATACTTTTGAACCATTTACTGAGAATGAGATCCAGAATGGTATTAATCACCTACATGCTGGTAAAGCAATAGACGAATTTGATATATATGGGCTGAACAACTGAAAGCAGCAGGAGACATTTTAGTTCCGATTATTACAAGGATATTTAACTCAACACTATGTAATGGTGTCTTCCCAGAGGTACTAAAGTCTGGAATACTCACACCAATTCTTAAGAAATAAAAAGATCCTTCAATTTTGGATAACTATAGAGGTATAACTGTAACTCCTATATTCACTAAGTTATTTGAATGTGTATTACTGCCAAAAATTGAACAACCTTTGAAAATGATCAAAGTCCGCTTCAGTTTGGTTTCACAAAAGGTATATCCATGCTACTAGCAGCATTGATAATTTCAGAAGCAAAATGCGAGAGCAAACTTTAACCTCTTACACCATTATGTCTTATCACAGTTGATAGTATGAAGGCGTTTGATGTTGTCAGCCATATAATTGTTCTTGACAAGTTGTATGAAACAGGGGTGCACCCTAAGATTTCGACTATCGTAAAAGATCTATATAATGGCATGACTTCAAAAGTAAGATGGGCCGGTGTAATTAGTGACGACTTTAAAATACTACAGGGAGTGAGACAAGGCGAAATTTTTTCGCCACTGCTATATAAAATTTATAACAACAAATTATTAATGGAATTACAGACATCAAGACTAGGTTTCAGAATAGGCAACATTTACATGGGTTTTCCAACGTGTGCAGACGACATCGCTCTTCTGTCAACAGATGCTGATGAACTACAATGTATGTTATGAACTTTACATAGACACTCCTTACAAGATAGAGTCTCAATACACCTACAAAGACCAAAGCAGTGGTATTCAGCAAATCAAATAGTATAAAGTCTACGTTATCTTGGAAACTTGTAGACTCTGGCATATCTCCAATTAACCAAACAGTGAATCTCGGTATTCTTAGGTCAGAACTTAAAGAAAATATATTAAATATAGAGGATCGTATAAGTATAACTAGAAGGACAATGTATGTCTTGCTTAATACAGGGCTCCACGGCTCAAATGGTATAAATCCAATTGTCTCTTACAAAATATACATGTCTAACGTCATACCGAAGTTATTATATGGATTGGAAATTCTCCCACTGAACAATTCTCAATTAGACATTATGAAAAGATTCCATATCTCAAATCTGCGCCGATTTCAATCATTGCCCACACGTACGGCAACATGTATAGTCTATTTACTATTGGGTGCATTACCAATAGACGCAGAGATACATAAGAGGCATCTTAGTCTTCTACATAACATTCTCACTTGTAGTAATACAACAATAAGAAATCTCCTGTTGGGACATCGTGCAGTGAATGGTGATAATTGTGACATTTTTTTGTGGTAGAATTAAGAAATTCTCAAATTTTATAAGTAACCAGAAATTGATATTTTATTATTGGAACAACCATCAAAATTAGCATTTAAATATCTGTGTAAATGTGCAATTCAGAAGACATGGACAAACCTACTTAAAACTGAAATTGACAATGAATCAACTCTAAAATATATAAATGAAAAGGCACTTGCCATTGGTAATCCCCACATAGTCAGGAAATCCCTACGCTTAAATGGTATTGGAAGTAAAGATGGGCATTATAAAAGCCAGGATGCTCACTGGCACATTTATGACACAAGCAACCAGATACAAATTTAACATAGAACAGTCAGATCACATTTGCCAGCTGTGTGCGATACATTCAGAGGATATCAAACACATTCTATTGGAATGTCCAGCCCTTTATACTGTTAGACAAGTATACTACAGCCGATTAGGAGTAGAAATTATTCGTTTGATTGGTGAAAGGAAATGGTTTGAACTTTTTAGAAACCAAGAATCTATCTTGCTTCTGATTTGGGACTGCTCAAATTTCAGTGAAAACCTTAGTACCGAACAAATAACAGTCATTACAAAAATATCTACTGAATTATGTCATCAGCTGTATATTAAGAGATTACAATTGTTGGAAGGACTCCGAAAAACATCCAAAGTTACTCAGGATACAATAGCGTCGAATGTGTAGTATTTCTAAGTGATCAGTAACTTTAAAACATATATATTATTTTTCTAAATATGTATGTGTATATCTTCAGTGATGGAGGTGATGGCAAGGTAGTCTCCTCTTTCTTATTCTATAAATTTTACCATAGTGGTGAGACCAGTTTGAGATTTTAAAGAATGGTATTGATCAAATTTGGAAATGTGTGTGTGACTCTTAGGTCGTGTATACATGTTCATAATATCTCTGAGAGGACGTATGGAGAAACTGTAAATAGTGTAAATACTTTTACTGGTACAAGAAATATCTTGGTGTTCCTTAACGGAATGTTATGCAAACAGAAGAAAAAGAAGGTATATAATGAATACCGGTAAACAATTTTAAATTATATGGAATGCACTTTTAAAAACAAATTAAAATGAACTTCTTCAAGTCATTTTCCTCCATGAACTTGCATTATGCGACGACCAATACCCATTAAATGATTAATTTACAAAAGCTAGTCATACAAAAATACATTGGTGTAGGCTGCATTTATCTAATTCCAGTTTTGAAAATAAATTGATTATTAATATACATAGACTGATACTGAATAATAAATGCATTTGCTCTAATGATTATGTACTTATAGTTGTACATTAATTTTTTTGTAGACCATGCTTATGCAAAAGAAAATAGCACAACTTCTTTTTAAACCATCTTTATGTATATCGGTAACCCACCTTTATATCTACTATGATTCGTGCACATACTTTCATGGAAAACAGTGGAAAATCTTGTATATAGATTTATGCTTGGAGCCTAGTTCTAATGAATAGATTACGCAATATGTACATACATTTTGTTTTAAGAAATTTACCACTGCATATTTCGAAGTGGTTATTTACATTGACTGATGGAATATCCAGATGGAGAAACATTGGAAAAAACAAAAACTGAAATATTTGATTAATTGTTTAATTAACGAACTTTTTTTTGACTGAAAAATGATCCAAAATAGAAAAAACAGATCGAGTGGTCCTTCAAATTGGTTGTTACTTTTCATACAAGGAGCTATTTAATAAACCCTTTTGAGGAGAAATTGTACTATTTACAAATAAAATGATTAGATGCCATGGAGTTTGCTATATATTGCACTTTTGATAATATATTTCCCTGAATGATGAGATATATTGTCCTTTCTTCAATGTGTCAAATGTTATTTCAGTAATTGTCAATAACAATAAGAAAGGCTATGATCTCAGTTTTGCTTGCCCAAATCATGAGCCTAGTTATCGGCCGTCTTTGTTATATCTTATGTTTATGTCATTTGGCAAATGTATATTGGTCGCATATTATGTAGTACATTTGTAATTTGTTGAAGTATGTTATGGTTTCTTGTGTTGGTTAGTTCTGTTTATTGATGCACATCAGACATCTGTTTCGCTGGATCTCTGGTTAAAGATTGTCTCATTACTTTTTAAAATGCAAAAAAGGTTACATAGACAGATCATGTATTAACGATGATTTAAAAAAAAAAGAATATTCATATAAATTTTTTAACTTATTGTTCGGAAATAACGAGACAATTTCAAAACCACTGTAATGCTTTTAGAAAGTTTGTTATTTCATTTAACAGTTAAACAATTTTTTATATTCCCAGTCAGTAGTTAGGCGGTAGTGTGCAGCAGTTTGTCTTTTGCGTTTCAATTTGCCAAGGATATGTTTTGGTCTCAAGAATAGGTGAATTATATATATATAAAAAGTACTTTTATGGAAAGACAAATATTGGAATCAAGCGTATTAAAATATCATCATATATGCCTATCATAGTACTCCTAGATATTGATATTTTACAAATTTCGGGAAAGCATTTCAATGAGAATACACTTTAATGTTGGCATATCTTTGATAGTCCTTGTTCAGTTTATTCACAACTGTTTTACACGCTATGTCTGTTGTTGACGACTTTATGATGCCTTCGTGAGTGTTTAGTTATACATTTATTGTACTTGTCGCTGTGTTGCTGTCTCATATTCGTATACACTGCATCTCTTTAAGTCATACGAAGAATAAGATATTAAGCGGCAAGTACAGAAAGGTATATAAAAGAATACAAAATAGAAAGACCCTCGTTTATGGCATCAATAAGATTTCTATTGCAGACAAGCCGATTTCAGCATTACAGAGAGCGTAATGTAACAATAATGTACATTTCAATTAATGTCTATGTCATGTATGTTTTGAACAATACATGTATCACAATAACTTTGTAAAACATCTAATAAAGCGACTTGTAAGATATAAGTTTGCTACCATTTTTGCATGCGTTTTTGATATGATTGACTATTAAGATCAGTCGCTTTAAATTGTTTTTTGAAACTGTTCACACAAAGTTTTCTGTTATGCAGTTTATCTCCTGTCTAAACCTGTGTCCTTTGTGTATTAAATGTATTGCCATAATGTTGGTTATAAAGACCAGTTGAATAATAATCAGGACAATTTTCGACTTTGACCACACATCTGCTTTGGTAGACTACATTTACATGTTGTCAGAATTGTAAGATTAATTTCCAAGTGCTGGGCCATAGGTTTCATTCAATTGGTCTGTTTTAAAGATATAAAGATTTAACATTAATATTGGATTAAATACAATAATTCTAGATATGTTGCGAAATTCCAGTAAGAAAGTGATAGATTAAGCAATAGAGAGAAACGCCATCAATTTCAGATGTGCAGTTCATGAAATAAGTATTTTTGAATGTTTGCTATTTGAAACCAATCAATAAATAAAGATAAGTGATTTAAACGAAAACGTTATTAGTTTGGGCGACAGTGGTTTTCTGTTAGTTTTCATTAATTTGTTATCGATTATAAACACAAGTCACAAAATAATATTACAAACATAAAGTTAAATCTGATATCAACTACCATCAAATAATTTTAATCGGGTAAGTCCCTATCTAAATATATGGCGTAATGCATACTTTTTCTTAAGGAACATAATGTTACTACTTGCCAAAATCACGTGAAACAAAATATTAAACATCAATAGAGTTAATTTTTGTTTATCAGTGTCATAATAAAAATAAATTGTATAATTCTCTCTTGAATGCCAACGATCAAGGTATTGTAACTTACGAAGTGTTTGTCAGCCATGAAACGCAGTGTGTCTCCACAAGGAAAACTATTGCCACGATTGGTATCAACGACACACCTATACCATTACATAAACAATTTGTGGCAAATACTTAACATAAATAATTAAGTATGTCAGTATCAAAAAAGAGTGCAATGGTAAGTTTTGAATTGATATCAATAACAGAACATCATGAAAATATTTGAATTTTGAGTTTCCCTAACCATGTCAGGTGTATAAGTTTCGCTACAAAGGTTTATGTCGCCCTTTTGACAAAAGAGACGAAAATACCAAGGGGACATTCGAAACTCATCAGTCGAAGAGAACTAGCCGCGCCACATTCTGTATGTGTCTGTATTTGCCTGTCCCAAGTCAAGAGCCTGTACCTCAATGGTTGCTGTATAACATATCTGTTTTTCGTTCATTATTTTGTACATAAATCAGGCCGTTAGTTTTCTCGTTTGAATTGTTTTACATTTTTTTCATTATGGGGCCTTCTATAGCTGATTATGCGGTTTTGTTCCTTGTTGAAGGTCGTACGGTGACGTATAGTTGTTAACTTCTATGTCATTTTGGTCTCTGGTGGAGAGTGGTCTCATTGGCAATCATACCACATCTTCTTATTTTTATAACATCCCTTTGACTAAAAAAGACAAGACATACAAAACCACAGCATAGACGCTGACCTTAGATAAATTTGGCTATTTCTTTAGGTCCTTTTTTGTCATATAGCTCTTCAGCTGTTTGGGTTATACATTCTTGGCTATCAAATATTCGGCTTTGAGCGTTCCTGATGAAGGTTAATCCAGAAAAGCGCTTCGGACGCATGAAATTTATAACGTGTTGTTTTCATTTTTAGACTAAGCAACACAAACCCCAACAAAAACTGGGGGAGTTCTGGAAGGGTGGGCTGAGGATATTTTCTATAAACGCAAGACTGAAAATCTTGTCATAATGTAAATAATTGAAAAAACAAACTTCTAGGGCTTTGATAAGGTTTAAGGTCGAAAGGAAGTCGTAAGTCTGTTTGAGACTTGTTCACGGATTACATTGTTTACACATTGATATCAACAGTATAATGGACTGAATTTGAATTTAATCAATTTTATGCTGATTTCTTCCGTTAACACTTTAACAAACAAATCAGGAGACTGTTATTTAATGTTGTCTGTCGCTGTACAATGTTTTCGTTTATTGTTTTTAGCATAAATTAGACAGTTTAGAATGGTTTCACATTTTCATATGCGACGCATTCAATGGCATACTATGCGGTATGTTGATGAAAACCGTATTGTGGTGATTAATTGTTACATCATCTACCTTTGTTCTTAGGTGGAGAGTCGTCTTTAGTGGAAATCATTTCATATTTCATTATTTTTATAATTTCTCCATTCATTTTTGTAATTATACTTCCTCGAATGTTTTTGTGTGCAAACTGTGTTGTTATCCCAGTTCTTTGGTTCTTATTGTTCTTTTCATTTCTACGCGTATCGTATAGTTAAGTGTATATAAATAAAATGTATAATTCATTCTGATTGTCTCCACCATTATTAATCTAAACAAACTTTGTATAGTTAAAACAAACCCAGTAGTTTCAATGGTCGGAATTATACCAATTACAGATATTTACAGGGCAAAACCTCACTATGTAGGTAGAAATTAACTTTAAAAAAAAAACTTTTAAACCATCGTAATAAAGATTGTTTGTTTTAAGTTGAAATGTGTGCAATTACCTACTCCACAAAAGTTTTAAAATTTCACAAATAGATTCTGCTTGTAAAAATAAACCGAATATACAAAAAAAATGGCGGTTACCATTTTCGTGTTTGAGATACAAGGTGTTGAAATCAACAGCATGATACGCCAAACATACGAAGGATAGTTAGGGAAAATCATAAAATAGTCAGATATTTTAACGTTATCAAGATTTTCTTTCTTATAGGTCCATAGAATTTTGTTTTAAAATTGATATAATTTTCAAAAATGAACAACGAATCGATTGGTGCAAAGCAATTCCTTAGAAAAAGTTTTCAAGCTATATCCTGTAAAAGTTGGGGTTTTTTTTCAGAAAAGGGAAAAATATTCGACGACATTATTGGTGTTTACAGAAACGACGCCAACAACTTGTACTCTATAACTCTATTACACTGTACAATATCGTAACACAATCTTGTATCAACTATTTTGCTAATTACTGCTAACTAATTTTCAGGGATATTTTTGCCGTCCAAAAAAATCAAAATTGGCATAATAAACGTACTGCAAGTGAAAAAGCGTTACTGTATGCTTACATTTTTTTTTTCTAAATTAAACAATTGTCAGCACCTTTTTTGTAATGCTTGTTTTGTCCTAATTTCTATGAATCAAATACTAAACATGCTAAAGGGTACTGATCGAGTTTGATGCTGTCCCGGTTATTATAGCGTCGACAGAATATCTGACTTGATCATATCACACATCATTATTTCTGGGCCTTTCAATTTTCAGTAAAAAGACCTTTGTATTTGTTCCGATTATTAGGTCTATCCCTTTTATGTTCAAAGATCGTTTAATGTTTTTTTCTTTTTCTGCAACTTTTTGTTTTGCAGGATGTCGATAACATTTTTGGATTATGATGTCGATCAGGTGATGTGTTTTTCTCTAACTGAACACCATTCATTGTCAGAGATATCTGCCATACTACTTCTTAGCGCATCTCCTCTGTTATAAAAAAAAGACATCGAAAAGATTGTTTGTGATATCCTCAGGATGCTTAAGTTAGGTTTTACTGAAAAGACCAAGTGACTTTTATTGGAGTTATCTCTCCTTTACAGAAACTCTTAAACCATAAGCCGTAAAGATCATAGACAATATGTGGCCAGAACTAATTCAGGTCAAGGTCAAAAGTCAAAGTCATGTTCTAGAATTTGACTTTTGCTTGTTATATCTACACCTCATAAACCGTAGAAAATATCATCAAAAGATTTTACCAAAATGTTAGTAGCGACGTGTCGGAAGTAGACAAGTTTAGTAAAAATACTATGGTCACATCTTATCAGAGAGAATGTCTCTGAAATATTAAAATCAAATGAATTAACCGAAACTTACTTCAAACTTTAAATTTTCAGCTAGCATGAGAAATGTGTGATCTTATTTAATCTCAACCAAAAAACCAACCAACCAATCAAATATTTCAATTTATAGGTTGAACACGGTATCTGACTTGTAAGGAAAGAAAAGTAAACATTATGTAATTGCTATTAATATAATTACATCAAATAATAATGTAACAAGAAATAATGATATTTGGTTTTTATGTATTCTAAAGTTTTGATTAACCTCTGCTTTTCAGTCTTGAGGGTGCATGATTTTATTAGTACCAGACACACGCATTTTGTGTCCGAAAAAAGATATTATATGTGTTATTCCATCATTGGACCGGTATTGCTGTGCAATAAATGTTATGAACCAACCATACCACACTCCTATTATTATACTCAATGTAATTTTTGGATATGCGTGTTGTTTGGTTATTGTACATTTTTCTATTTTGATATATATAATTTGTCTCGAATTCAGCCCAACAATGTTATATCTCCAAATTTGCGTGAGTAAATTTTTGTTCTTCCCTCAGCGGGATTCGAACCCTTGCTTCTGTGACATCGTCCAACGTCTTAGACTATTCGACCACCCAGTCTATATAAAAATATAGTTTTCGCTGGTCGAGTAATGTCTTTCCTCGTCGGTTTTATCTAGGGTTGTAACACAGTACATGAGGAATAGTGGCAAGTAGATGGTATACCTTTCAGATAAGCTATTTTGTCTGTTGTAAATGATGATAATGTTACTTACCATGCCGCCACATCAAATTTTAATTGTATTATACACGTCAGAACATGTGACAACTTTATGATATCTATGTATATTTATCATATACTTATAGAAAATAATGGTATTATTGTACCCCTTGATAAAACTGTAAATTGTACATATATTTATTAATAAAATCTGAAGAATTGTCTTTGCCGTGTGATATGACTTTCGTTATCAACTGCTTCCGGTTTATATCAACTGCTTCCAGTTATTATCGCATGCCTTTCTGTAACGTTATTGCATGGCATTTCGACGTCACTCGGAAAATTCCGGAAAATACACCTCAGTAGTACGTTTTTGGTGAAAAACATAACAAAGGAAGATAAAAAAAATATTAGGAAACAGGAAAATATATTATGAAAAATGCAAAACAAATAATTCAATAAATGCATTTTTTCAAAGTTTGAAAA